ACTTAATCAATTTTAATTTCCTTCTTTCATCAAAGAGCTAGGTTGAGAAGATACACACATAGAAACAGGATAGGACACGCTCATGCTGAGTGTCTGACGACTGGTGCGGAGGTTATTCACAGTGGGCAGAGGGCCTGGCTGGCGAGGTGTTCAGGCACTGTGGTCTCTTTGGAGCATCATCTCAGCTGTGTTCTGTCTCGGGGTTGGGGGCCCATCTAGGTTCAAGGATCAGACATAATAAGGCAACCTGATAATATAGCTAAAACTCAAAAACCACTCAAACCCTTTGACCGAATAATGTCACCTCAAAAAAACATTACAATACAATAACTGAGAAGAAAAAAAAATCTAATCTTTGTAAAGATATTCATCATAGCACTATTCAAAAGTAGAAAACTAGAGAAGTAAGCAGAGAGTAATAGGAGAATGACTCAACAAATTATGGTACATTGCTCCAATACCACATAGGTAAAAAATCAAAGTGAACCCTGACATTGTCCTGTTCAGATATAGGAAAAGAGTATTACAGATAAAATAAGTATAAAAAAGCAGAACTCACGATGTGCAAATGCTGATCACAATTTTTAGTACCTATGCATAGCCCGGAGGAGACAACACAAGATGTGAATGGTGACCCCTTTGTTTCTTTGGCCGCAGTATGCAGCATGTGGGATCTTAGTTCCTGGACCAGGGATTGAAACTGCGTCCCCTGCATTGGAAGTGAGGATTCTTAACCAGTGGACCACTAGGGAAGTCCGGTGAGCTCTTTGAAATTATGAAATTTAATTCTGTGTAAAGAAGTTTAGGTAGACAGTATTATACAATAAAATTTCAATACAATTTTAAAGTTAAAAACATTAGGTAAAAATTAATAAAGCAGACAAGCCACATGTAGGTAATGAGGGATCGACAGCGTTTGTGCATATTTTTGGCTGTCAGCAGGTCTGCGTGTGTTTATTCTAAATCGTGCTATTGCATCGCTACCAACTAAACAAATGCTTTTGCCCAAGTTCGTCTTCCTTTGCAGCCCCCAGGAGAATGGAGTTGGCTCTGTGCGGGTCTTCTTCTCTAGCAGGACTCATGCTCAACTGACCTGCATGGAAGCAAAGGTGGGCCGGTGTGAATAAGAATGAACAGCACAGGGAAGGGCAGCCCAGGAGGAGCCCGATCTGATGCCACCTTCAGGGCCTGGCCTTTTCTTGGTTCTCGAGACTTGTGCCTGGTCCCTGGGCTCTAAGGTGTCTGCCAAGTAAGGCCAGGACATGGTGCTGAGATGGCCCTTGCTCCATTCAGGGAAAAGCCTGTCTCCCTCTTGTGGAGTTTATAGCTGCTCCTGGGCTTTTGCACGTAAATTACACATGTCCTTAACCAACTGCCCTTTTGCAGGGGGGATCAGAGCTCAGCAAACAAAAACATCATTCATATTATTCCCCTTCATAATTGGAGAAGTGGCTATTTCCAGGCTGGTGAAAATCTGTCTACAATACAAATTAGAAGGCAAGAGGGGTTTTGCTCAGTTTGTTGATGGAAGATAGACTCAGGACGACTGAAATACTGACAAATCCCAAGTTTGATGTGAAGAATACTGGATGTTTCCATTGTGGATGCACTGTGCGTAGAACGCTTTTGGTGTGAGCACTCGTACGGCTTCCTTTGGAAGAACGGGGTCCCTGTTCCCTTTGTCTTGGTCTGGGCTTCTGCTCCTCGTGCTGCCTGTCTGGGTTGGTTCAGCTCCCGGTCCAAGGGTCCCACAGTGAATGACAGGCAGGACCAGGGAAAGGACATGCATGCCTGGACCCTTCTCCCAGGGGGAAGGTTTTCTAGACTTTTGAGCTCACGTACCCCCTGACACAATTCTGTAAAACTATGTACCGGCTTTTGGGGCTTCCCTGGTGGCGCAGTGGTTGGGGGTCTGCCTGCCGATGCAGGGAACGCGGGCTCGTGCCCCGGTCCGGGAAGATCCCACGTGCCGCGGGGCGGCTGGGCCCACGAGCCATGGTCGCTGAGCCTGTGCGTCTTGAGCCTGTGCTCCGCAATGGGGTGTAAACGTTTTCATTTTTAGGTTTAAATAGTTGTAGTATATCAATCATCCTATCATATTTCTTTGAGGAAGATACATATATACACATAAATATATGTATACAGTCTGTATATATAGAAATTGAAACTAGTTTTTTCCTGTGACTGTATGATTCTAAGTGCTAAACATTTTCTTCTGGATTTACGTGTATTAGAACTATCATGGGACATATTTGATTAACACGACATGAGTTGTTTGGAAGTGCCTCTGTGGGGTCCGGGGGGCAGCTAGGAGTGGGGTGCAGGGCGCACTGCGGGGCGTCTGCTCAGAGCTCCCGGGTGTCAGGCCTGCCCCACTTCTTCCTCTGCCCCATCCTGGCTCCTGTCCCTGCCCTCCACAGGTGTGGGTCCCTAGGAAACATCTTGTGCCTCAAACTCTGCTCAGTGTCTGCTACTGGGAAACGTAGCCTCTGACACTAAACGGCCCAAGGGAAGACCCCTGTGGAGGCCGGAGGGCAACGCAGAGCTTGGGCTTGAAGAGCAGGTCCTGCCCCAAACCATCGCCGCCCCTCTCCCTATGCCCCGCCCGCCCCCCCCCTCAGGAATCTGGAGGCCTGACTTCGAGAAGCGCTTCCTGCTTTGAAGATGCCAGAGAATCAGTAACATACTCGACACATTTAATGAAGATCAGGTCCCCCTTTTTATGTTGTTCATGTGGGTGTGAAGGGGCTCTTCTGTCTTCAGTGGCTGTGGATAAAATGTTTTAAGCTGTCCCCAAAAGAGGGACAGGAAGCTTGCCTCTGGGCTGCTAATGCCATCTTGGCCTGAAATACACAACAGCAATAATAAAATCGTATTTTCATAAGGAACGCTCACAAAGTGCTTGCTGTGCATCAGAGCTCTTCTAAAGGTGTTATGTATGTTTACTCACTTAACCCTCAACACAATACCCAGTTAGGTATTGTTATTAACCCCATTTGACAGAACAAGGAAGGGGACGACAGAGGCCCCTTCCTACTGAGTGTTTACCATGCTCAGGTCGTGGCGCCAAGAAAGTAACGTGCAGCACCTCAGTCCTCATGTGCCTCAAGCAGAGCCAGCAGTGGGCAGCTCTCCTTGTGGAGCAGGGGGCCGTGGTCCTCAGGCCCTGCGGGGAGCGTTAATTTGGTCCCCCTCTCACCCGCCCAGGTGGGAGCAGAGGAGTCTCTCACAGCAGGGCCCTTTGCGCCTCTCCCAGTGGCAGGTCATCGCCCTCAGGGTAAAGCTGAACACGGGGGAGAACGCTTGGCCGCCGTGCAGGAGGATGTCTTTGTATCAGTCCTTCAGCTTCCTGATGCCAGAGCAGAGCCGGGGCAACTGGGGCTAGGCGGGGAGGCTGGACTGTCAACAACACAGAAGGAAGGAATGCAGGGCGGGCTGGGGCAGGGCTGTGACCTGAGGCCCGTGAGTTCTGGGGGCCGTCCCTCCTCTGTGGAGGGACAGATGGACCAGGGCTGGGAGCAGCTCCAACACGGAAATGCTGCGATGTTTCCCCCAGAGACGCTGCCCACGCTGGCGAAATGACTTGACAAAAGTGGCCGAGGCCCAGGGCTTCACCCCGAGAGGCAGGCGGGTGGCCCAAGAGCCTCAGGCTCAGACAGGATGCAGGTAGGCAGAGAAGGGGAGGCTTCCTGCCAACAAAATCCTGTGAGGATGCAGCGCAGGAAGTGGGGAAAAGGCCACCTTCTAGGGGTATGCATTATTTTATGGGTTCAAATTTATTTAACTTGTTATACAGCGTTCAGTGAGGTCAGTGAGGCTCTGCTAATGGACACGAATGTTTTGAACGGGAGGGTGGACACAGGCACCCGCCGGCATCCCGCTTGTCAGCTGGTGGCACAGTACTGAGAAAAGTCCAGATTCATGCAGATCCACTATTACAAGTTCCAAAAGTCTGAAAATGTCTTGCTCTGAAATTTCAGGATATTTTAAAATTAGAGACGGCAGGAGATGTATCTTGGAATCTACATTAAAACACACTCGCCTAGTAGTTGAAGCTAAAACTGGTGATTTCCAATGATTTGTGTGTTGACTGTTACACCTTTGAATGCATTTTCTTAACTTTCATTTTAGAAACAGTTCAGAAATCATACTTGGAAAGTGAAGGTGAATCCCTGTAGAACCTTTGACGCCGGCCCAGGGCGCTCACGAGGTTTCTGAGGCACGTGCGCTGGGACCCAGGCCAGTCGGGGGCCCTTCGGCGGGGCCCCTGGATGAGAGCCGGCTGCCCGTTACTGACTGTGTGTAGGTTCCAGCAGCTGCGAACCCAGCGGTAGCACTGCTGTAGCGTCGTGGTGCAGAGCCTGGGCTCTGTTGTCAGACAGACCCGGGTCCGGACACCACCTGCTGCCTAGCAGTGCCCACGACCGCTGTTTCTCGTGTGTGGACCGCAAATGGCGCCACCCCACTGTGTGGTCCCGAGAGCAGCGTGACTGTGCCCTTAGGGCTCTCAGCCCAGGCTTCCGCCTCCAGAGAGCACTTATGGAGAAGGGGGGAAGCCTTCTGGGCGCTCCAAGGGCTGCATGGGCTCAGGGACGAGGGGCTCTTGGGGGCTCCCGAGTCTGGCTCCCGTGCCACTGGAGCTCCCGGTTCACAGGCATGGCTTGTACTGGACTTGGGCGTCGAGTAGCTGTTCAAACTCAGGAACAGATGAAACCCATGACCCCCGGGCCCTCCCAACCCTGTGAACCCCAGACCGTATTCTCCCATGACCTTGACTCCAGGGGGTCCACAGACCAGCAGCCTGGGCATCTCTGCTGGAGCTCGTTAGAAACGCAGGCACTCTGGCCCCCTGGAATCAGAAGCTGCCTTTTAACAAGATCCCTGGCAATTCTCCTGCACGTTTCCTGCTCTGACCCCTCAGGGGTCACTGTCCTCCGGGCACATGAGCCCCAGCCCTGGAGCCCCAAACTCCCCACCCCACCTCATGGGGACCTTTGTACCTGGGCCCCTCGCTGTCACTGGCCCGGGTCCAGTCCAGGCCCAGTACCATGGAAACCTGGACCAGCTGCTCCCGCTTCTGGGTTCCCTTCTGTGGATGAAGGCTGCCGTCCAGGTTGCTAAATGTCTTGGCTGCTCGGGTGGTTGATTTAGGACCCACAAGAGGTGGCCCTGGGCTCAGGTCTGGGTGAACATGCCTCTCACTCCAGGCTGATCTTTCAGACCCACAGTGGGACACCCCCCCCCCCCCCCCGCCATGGTGGTCACTTCTGTCTTGCTCACAGCTCACCTCTGGGCCTGGGTCTGCTCCGAACCACGTGTCTGACGTGAGTGCAGACACGTGCGCACACTTGGGGTCAGCTGTGTCAATCCCCGAAGCTGGTGGGAAGCAGTTTGGATCTACAGAGCTGCATGGAGGCCCAGGGGCCAGTGGGGGAAAGGCATCACTGGTGGTTTTTTAATCGCCTGAGGTGGGGAGTGACTACCCTTCTGTCCTGGCCCAGGGACTCGAGCTGCTAAAAGGGGCAGGAGTCACTCACCTGTGGAGAAAAGCATTTCTGAGAAGGTGGTACCAGCCAGAAAAGCAGACCAGCTGGCGGTCTGTAGAGCACCCCTCTTAGCCCATGCCCACCAGTGAGCACTTGATAGGGGCCTTCGCCCTGAGGCAGCTTGTCCCTCCCTCAGTGACCTGGAGCCCTGAACTGTAGGGTCTCACGGGTGAGAGACCTTGGAGACCCTCACATCCTATGGCAGAGGCAGTGCCCCCCTGAAGTGTTTGGGGCATGACAGGGGGTGGCCGTTCCTCTACGCCCTGTGTGGACATCTGCTTGGGCCCCCCTGGGTCCCCAGCCTGGAGCACAGCTCTGAGATACTGGAGTCCAGGCGTGCCTTGATCTGGCCGCGAGGGCTGAGAGCCTCGAAGCAATGCTGGCTACCAGAAGGGGCCGGACACCGTTCTGTGGCCTGGACTGCCAGTGGCTGAAGAGCAGTAGCTGGGGGCGGGGAGGGGCCAGGAGCCCAGGACACTCTCCAGCCCACCTGCCTCTGTGGTTTCCTCTCCCTGAAGTGATTCTGCTCTGATTCCTTCCGGACCATGCCCTGCACGCTCTTCTCCTTCACCTCGCTCTTTCCAGCCACCTAAGTAGTCTGCAGCGCTCTCCCTCCCCCTTGCCCCTTTCCAACCATCCACGTTTCACACCCTTGAAGGCTTGGGTGGAGTCCCAGCTCTCCTGGAAGCTGTCCCAAGGGGTCCAGCCCTGAAGCTCCATCTCCCTTGCTTCCGAGTGCCTCCCCACTCATCCCGGAGGTTGGCAGTCACGGCTCTTCGCGGTTTCTGTGTGCTGGTGCGGTCCCGACGTAACCGTGTGATCTCAGGTTTAGTCTGTACGCATAAGGCCAGTCACATTCATGAAGCGTGTCTGGGTCACCTGACGCCCAGTACGTGGGAAGCAGTGTGCTGAGTGGTGTGTGTGTATGTGTGTGTGTGTTACACATTCTGCCTTTAAGGAACTCACAGTCTAGGAAGGAGACTAGAATATGGTAGGCCGACTAAAGTAGGAATCAGACGGTGGGCAGACAACACGAGGGTTAAAGGAGGGAGAGGTCGAGAAAGGGGTGCGGAAGAGCCTGGTGGAGCAAGTGTCCTCCAGGGTAGGTCCTAGGGGGTGACGAGAGTTTCATAACCAGACCAAGTTTGTTTGCAGCAGAGAAGTTTCACTAGACAACCACTTCTCAGGCCTGCCTCCCTGAAGGCCAGGGGCGTGAGATATTTATGGGGTGAAGGAGCGGGGAGGTCTTAGGCGTGGGGCAGGGGGATTGGACGCAGAGCAAAGGTGAGGTGATCTGTGTTCCACACAGGCCATTTTAGGTTTGGTGGCCCCAGCTAGGCTTTGCCCGTCTGAAGTGCCCAGAGCCGACTCCAAGTTTCTGGAAACAACTTAAGCCCCCGTTACTATAGTGACCCCTACGTCAGAAGCCTTCTCTACAGGGGTGGTTAAACACCCTGGTGATATATTACCTCGGCTTTGCGACGCTTGGAGGGTATGCAGTTAGAGAAAGGGGAATAAACAACAGGGACAGCAGCCTTAACCACGAAAGGCAGGTCCTAGGCAGAGGGGCTTCTAATAAGCCCCTTACCTGCTGCTCTGTGAGACACACCCAAGGGTTTGTGCGGGCCCTGCAGCCGGCTGAGTGTCCTCTGGTGTTGGAGGCCCTCAGGGCAGGCAGTGCCGGCTCCTCTGTCTTCCAGGAGGCCACAGCGCAGGGAGGGGATGCGGTCCCTCTGCTCCCCGTGGGGACATAGAGCGGTCATGGAGCTCTATGCTGTGGCTGCACCTAAGCTCTCCCCCTGAAGGCATGTGGGGGGCATTTGGCCCAGACCACAGAGGCTTGAGGGACAGACTCAGTGATGGGAACGCCTGCGGGTTTTCTCAGCTGAGTGACTTTATTCTCCCTCACCCCGAGGTTCACAAGCAGAAGTCGGCACAGGCTGAGGTGCAGGCTCTGAAAGGAGTCTGGGTGCTGCCGGGAGCACGTCCTAACAACGAGCACTGTCGCGGCCGGCGGTCCCCGGGCGCCCACCCCTCCTGCTGGCTGAGGTCCCTGGCCGCGCCCCGCGTGCAGAAGGCACCACGGCATCCTGTGTGACTCAGGGTCCCCCCAGACGGGGCCGGCTGCCGTCTGCCGTCTGGAGGAGCAGCCACAGCTCCCACTCCAGCTCTTCTGCCCTCCTGGCCAGCCGGGCTCTCCTCACCTCCAGCGCCAGGGCCTGGTCACTCTGCAGGGCCCAGGATCCCAGGTTCTCTCCGCCGGGGCCGCCGGCCTCTGCTGGGCCGAGTGTGTCTTCCTGCCGCGTGGGAGGGCAGACCCTGGGAACCACCTGAAAAGACACCAGTGGAAGAGGCAACGGGGCCCTGCAAGCGCTGAGCCCACCCTGAGGACCCGCGTGACTCTGGGCACCCTGCCAGTCTCCAGGCAACACCCAGCCGAGTGCTTGGGAAGACGCCAGCCGCTTACGTCCAGGGACTGGCCTCACGGTCACGAAGGACACAGGGTCCCCTGAGCTTATGTTGCCAAATTTGTGCACAGCAGCACCTGATCATGTCACTACAGCATCATGGCCTTCAATAATTCGGAACAACCGTGGAGTAATTAAGTCTTTTTATAGCCCCTCAGCTCATCCTGTTTGTTCCGTCCTTAATACCAGGGATATTTATATAATGCCTCTTTAAGCATGAAAATTTCCCGTTACTTTATTCTCACTAAATTGCTCTCCTTTGAGCCCCTCAGTGCAGCCGACGCTGGATGCCTGCACCTCGCCCTCCACACTGGAGCTGGTGCCGCGGCCGCCCTGACCAACCAGCCCCTCAGCTTAGCGTGGCCTCTTGGACGGGGTCTGGATGAGATCGGGGGAGGAGTGACGGACACACCGGGTGGGGGACACGCGGGGCCAGCGTCTCCGTTTGGGTTTCACAGGGAGGACTCACCGGGGAGGGGGGGTTCAGGGACCCTTTGGGGCCAGCGGAAGACACAGCTCCTGCTGGGAAGGGGTCTGTGCATGTTGTGGGTGTCACACGCCCACAGTGCCTTGTGCGCACAGAGAAATCTTCCCTCACTTGTTTGTGAGCATATAGGTGCGCTTTCCTGTGCTTTTGTCTTGAGAGGGCAGTTTGACCCGGAAGGACTGACTTTCCAGATCCCCTAACAACCAGGCTCAGGCACGCGCTCTGTCCTCACGGAACTCTCTACTCAGGGAGCATCTCGGTCCCGGGTCTCCTGCTCTCGGGGTCACCGGCAGGTGGGCCCTCCCTGGTGGTGAAGAGGGTGGCCTTGGTGAACAGGATATCCCGGCGCTGATGCCGGATCCAGAAGCCCAGTGACAGGGGTGCCTAACCTTGCCCCCCACCACCAGGGCTTTGCCCATCTTCAGCAACTCAGCAAGACGGGAACTAGGGGGACACGAGGGAGGCCCTGGGCTTGGGTGCAGAAGTCAAAGGGGCACCAAAAACTCAACTCAGGAGAAATAGTATTTTAATGCAGCTTTAAAAGTCAAATTGGCAAATTGAGGCCCACCAGCTGGTGCCTGCTTTAGGAAAGAAAGTTTTATTGAGCTCAGGGCAGACACAACTGAGTTATCGCTGTATCTCACGCCTGTGTCCCCTCCAACCTTCCCCATGTCTACACCTTCAGAGACCTGAGTTGGGATCAGAGTTCATCTCACGGAAAACTTGTTTCAGAACCATGGCTATCAGTCAGGCTGCAGCTAGAATAGCTTTTCCATTGCCCCCCTTTCATGCCTTTCCCCGGTCTTTCCAGGTCGTCAATTTACTTAGAGACCTGCAAACCCAAGGTGGTCGACACGCTTTCCTGACCCCTGATGCAGCCCTGCCTTCCAGGGTCAGCCTTCCGTTTGCCAAAGGCAACAGGCAAAATGGGGTGGCCTTCTGGTCAGAGCTGGTTGTTTGGTTTTGTTCTGAACCCCTATCTGCAGAGGGCGCTGTGACCCTGTGGGCCCCACCTCGTGAGACCCCGCTGTCCGTGGACACCTCAGGAGCTGAGACGGCGGCCTCACAGGCTTACCACAAACGCACTGCCTTTGCTTGGTGGCAGTTGGCCTGGCCTGTCCTCTTCTTTCCGGAGCGCTAAGGCTTGAGCAGTGAGCTGGAAGAACTCATTCAGCTCATCCAAATTGTCTTCCACCTGCCATATCTTCCTCTAGAAACAAGGGACACATGGTCTTCATTACTTTCCTTTTTATTCTAATTTTATTAAAAATCCATTGAGCTCCTGCCCCATGACAGGCAGGGGAGTCAGTGCTGGACGTACAGAGTTGAAGTCAGGTCTGCTCTCGAGGAGCTCAGCGCCTAAAGAAAAGCAAACCCAGGCCTACAGTCCGGTAGAGTGAAGGCTGCTGGGGAGAGATGTGCAGGGCTATAGGAGCAAAAGGCAGGACACCTAACCCAGGCAGGTGCAATCAAGGAGAACTCTCTGGAAGAGGGGAGACATTTCAGCTGAATGTTAGCAACAAATAGTAATTAACTGGGTGGACAATGGGAGAATGGCATGCTAGGCAAGGGTATAGCATGTGTGGGAAACACAGAGACATGAGAGCACGCAGGGAAGTTTGTCCATCTCTCAGTTAATCCATCCATCTAAGCATCCATCCATCCATCCATGCGTCCATCCGTGCATCCATCCCTCCATGCATCTATCCATCCAAGCATCCATCCATCCATTTGTCCATCCAACCATCCATGCATCCATGCATCCATGCATGCATGCATGCATCCATCCCTCCATGCATGCATCCATCCAAGCATCCATCCATCCATTTGTCCATCCATCCATCCATCCATCCATCCATCCATCCATCCGTGCATCCATCCCTCCATGCATCCATCCATCCATGTGTCCATCCACTCATAGGTAAAGAAAGATTTACTGAGCACCCGTTATGTGTCGAGCCAATGGTTGATTCCATTAGTGAACTTCCATGGGGTTTATAGTCTATAAGGAAAGGCAGATATAGAACAAGGAATTATCAGTGACAACTGTTACCCGAGGGGATGTTCAGATTGCTGTGGGAAGTAGTCACGGTTCAGTTTGGTGGTAGCATGGAATTTGTTTGGAAAAGTGGAAGGGGATGATGCTGGAGATATAGGGGTGGTGAGCTGGGGACAGGAGGCTGTGACGGGCCTTGCGTGACGATCTTGGCTACTATGGCAGAGACTTCCTTATTAACTTTTTGGGAGAGTGAGTGTTTTCAGACAAAAACCTGCTTATCTCAGACATTCTTATAGACAGAAACAATTGTGTGGCTAAGATTTGGCCGATGAGATACAAAAGGATATTGTTGAGGGGATAGATTCTGTAAAACTGTTTAAAGAGAGAGCTGACTCCGTTACCCTTTCACATTCCTGCCTTTCTAGCAGCTGTCTTGCGACTGACGCGACCATGAAGATGAACTCAGGAGTCAAGGGTCACAGAGTCCTCGAGTTTGTAGGCCATTGTGGATGTTGATGGCTTTGATTTGAACATGGTAAATGTAAGCTACCTGTGGGGCTTCCCATGAGTTACCAAAACATCTGATGCTCAGTGAGCTCGGCTGTCAAGGGAAGGCCACCTCTTGCTCCACACCTGAGATGCCAGATAAAACGCAAATACAATACAAATGCAGAGCCACGTTTGAATGGGACCCCTCTCGACCCCAGAGATGAAGATGCAAGCCGGGGTAGGTGGGAGCTGAAGGCATGGGCGAGGGTGCTCCTCCTTAGAGGAACGAGGCCATTATGGTGGAAACTGAGTAAAGTCTGGACCGTAAGTGGCTGACCCTTCTCTGAATGTGAATGAAGCCCCTGCGTCCAGCCCGAGCACACAGCCCCGTAGCTGCGCAGGTTTCTTGCTCGGGGCTGAGGCTGAAACAGAGCTGATGTGAGAAACTGGAACCGGGAGGGGCGCCTCGCACCACAGGAGCCCAGAGCTGAGACATGGGAACGACCTACAAGCAGGACTTGAAGCAGCGATGCCACAGTGTGTGAGCAGAAACACACAGCTGCCCCACGCGGAGGCCTGCGCGGAGGACCGTCCCTCTGAAGATGGCTCAGACGACAGTGCACCCAAGAGACTGCAGACAGTGTGCGAGCTGAGTGTGCCTGTCACGGAAGCATGTTCATCGTGTGAAGAGGGACAGAGGAGGAAGAGAAGCCATGAGGCAAGAACAGGAATCTTGTGGAGAAGAGAAATCTAGAAATGAGAAATGCCAAGGCAACAACAACAGGGTTGGTGGATTACCTGCTGACCTGGCTGGAGTGAGCTTATGAAACTTGGTAGGAAATCACCTGGAATGTAGCACTGAGGGGCCAATAGATGGGAAACACGAAGGGGAAGGGAAGAAACAGGGAGGTAGAAGTTGTAAGTATTGTCAGGCTGTGCCCATCAATAGACGGCGCTTTGTCGCGTGAACGTTTCCGAGAGCGTCTGTGTTGTGTGCATGTTTTGCCTTCTCAGCCCTGCGGACCTGCCTGCCGGGCCCTGGAGGAGGGACCTGGACCTGTGCTGGGAGCCCCGGTCCTGTAAACGCCGCTTGAGCACGAGAGGGAGCTCAGGAGGGCGAGCTCTCCTTCCTGCACCTCTTCCGCTCCTGAGTGAGGTTGGGTGGGTGACACAGAAGGAAAAGCACAGGAAACTCTCCTGGACAAAGTTACTGCCCATCTCTGAGGCTCATCTTCCACATCCGAAGACTGGACGAGGAGAAGGTCTGTGTCAAGATGCCGTTGGGGGTGTGTGCTCTGGGACGGTGACCAGCCCAGGGCCTGGCTCACAGGAGGTGCTCAGTAAATAACCCCTTTTTCAGCTCCCCCTGGGCACTGATGAGGCTCCCTGTGCATCTGGCAGAAAGAAATCTAACCACGGCTTGGTTCGTGGGAATGATGGATAAAGTAGTTACCGTGCATTTTGGATAGCAGGTAGCTCCACGGGTCACGAGCTGTCACGCTCTCTGCTCTTTCACCCTCGTGAAGAGGGAAAACGGAAAAGTGTTTGTTCCATAGAAAACGTCTCCCAGTCTGTCCCCACCCTGGGACGGGAGGGAGCAGTGCTCCTGGAATCTGCAGGATTTGCTACGCCCCGAGGAGCAGTGTCACTTGCTGTGAGCGGGAAAAAACGATTTCTGAGGCTACCTTATTGACAGAAAATTATATTTCTTATGTTTACCTCACATTCCTATTCCTTTCACATCAGAGTTGCCCTAGTATCTTTTAATTAAAAAGACAACGAAAAGTAAAAATATTCCAGAACAAAAAATCTCCCGACTTCCGTTTTTCTAATTGTAAACAGTAACCCTGTTTGGTGTAGAATATTAGTAAATATACCATTTAAGCGTATAAACAAGCACATTAATGTCATCCTAACCCACTCACGGCCCCAGTCCTTTGCCCGCTCTCTGAGCCAGTGCCCTTTGCCATGTTTTTTGGTGGTGCCCTCCCTCTGGGAGTGGGCTTTTTTCTCACCCCTGGACGTTGGGCCCTGCCACCTCGCTTGCTTTGGCCCCTAGGATGGGCAGAAGTCACCCTGTGCCATTCCTGAGACTGCGCCCCCAGAGCCCTTTTGTGGTTCTGCCATGGCCATGAGAAGGCTGCGTCCAGGCTGGCCCGCTGGCCCCGGAGGAGGGGAGACTCCAGGTGACGGCTGCCCCGCTGCAGTGCCCCAGGCAGGCCCCGCCTAGAGCTGCGAGCTGCCCGAGACCCTGGCCTCCGGGAACAGATCAGCTGAGCCCCCAGACATGGGAGCAGCAAGCGCTCCAGTTCTTTTCTCCTGAGGTTTCCCTGCGGCAAAAGCTGGCAACCCGGCATCGTTCTTCCATCTGGGGGTTTCTTGTCTCAGTGTCTCTCCCCCAAGCTGGCCTCACTCCCTCTCTTTCTCTGCTGTTCCCTTTTCTCTTTTTAAGAACAGGCAAATATGAAATCCTGCCATACATGCAATTCTCTATCCTCATCTTTCACTTTAAAGACACAAAAAATTCTCTATAATATCATTTTCAGTAGACACTTTAGTATTTCATGATAGGTATCTACCATAATTCAGATAAATCATGTTATTGGAAATTTAGGTCACCTCCATCTATTTTTATATCATTAAAAATTGCAATGAACATGTTTCTTCATGTTTACTTGTATGTAAAAATGATTTCTTCAGAGAGATTCTTAGAATTGGAGCTACTGAGTCAAATGGAATGAATATTTTAGAAGCTTTTGGTAGAAATTACCACACTGCTTTCCAGAAGGGTTTAATTTTTGTACCCTTCAGCCAGTGGAATATGGGAGTGTTTATTTCTTTATTCCTCACAATTACTTAGTACTTTGGTTAAATGTTTTAGGTAGATAAAAAAGGGCATGTAGTTTAATGAACATTTTTCTGATTCTTTGAACGTTTTGATATAATTTACTTGGGTGTATTTCCTTTCTCTTAGGGCCATTTGCATATGTTTTCTCAAAAGAGTAAAAGCATCTACTAATGGGAAAATTCTGACCTAGCGGTTTTATATTATTATGTGATCATACCTATTGTTGCTTCCCTTTTGGATTCTTTCCCCCATTGTTTTGAAAATTCTTTTAAACCTTCACAGGCTCCCACCTCTTGCCCTTGTGAATATTGTAGAAATCAATGCACACTTGTTGACAGAAAGAATGATTTTCTTGACCAGTATTCTCCAATTGTAATTTCTTTCTCCACAAAATATCCCTCCCGGGCACTTTTCCCTCAACCTGTGTGTGGTTTACGTTTCCCAGAGTCGCAGGAGGGTGCAGCTAACAAGCAGGCTGGGGGTGAGGCAGCTTCCCCACACCAGCTGGCTGTGCCCCTGCTCAAGGCTGCCCCGCTCCTACCTGCAGCTCAGGAAAGGCTCCGTGCCTGTGTGCGGGGCCTGGGCTCGCGGCGGCTCCTCCTTTGGTGTCACCCCAGGGGAGCCTTCCGGGTCCTGGTTGCTGCCCGGGGCTGGAATAAGAGGGAGGAGAGGCACGCTTTCAGGCCTCTGCTGCCCGGTGATACACCCCCTCAACCAGAATAAAAGACACTGGCTGCTTTTAACGTCTCCCTGGGACGTCTGAGCTTAGAGAAAGATGAGATGTTAACGTGATGGAGAAACGGACAAACCCTTAGATCCCCTGAAGCTGGACGACTGGGCCCACGCAGCCTTCCCTGTCCAGCAGGTGGGTGACTTCTCAGTGCCGGGAGCAGAATTCACCCTGACATAAGCCAGCTCGGCATATTGATTATTTTGAGCTGAAGGCAACTGAGATATAAGAAAAGCTCTCTGCCTCCCGTATTTGCCTAAAAACAGGACTTACCTTTTGAAGGGGCCCCTCCCCTCTCCACCAGGAAGCTCCCAAGTTAATCACTGGAGGCACCCTAGACCCGTACCAGCCCAGAGATGCCACCAGAGGAATTTACATAAAAACCAGCCCTATCCACCATGACTTTCCCATATATTTACCATCCCACAATTTGCCATCCTAGAAACTCAAAAAGTCCTTCTCTTTCATCTTGTCACTTCTCTAAAAATGTACTGTTCTTTTGTTAAGATGCTATATAGGCCCCAGTTCTAGCCACCCCTTCAAGTTACTCAGCACTGAGGGCTCCTACACTTGGGCCATGCACATGTGAATGAGCTTCTGCTTGCTTTTCTCTTGTTGCCCACGTGGAGAGCCTAAGATGGGTAGAGGAAATGGGTCTTTTCCTTCCCTACGTCAGCTGGCTCGTGCTCTCTTCCTGTGGCCCAGTGAGTGCTCTCTGCTGTCACCTTCCAGGCCTGGGAGAGGGACTGTGCTGTCTGGACCTTGGGGATGGGTCACGAGTCTAACCTGAGCACTCTCACCGCCATCTGTTCTCCTCTAGGAAGACCCTTTGCCAACACCAGCTGGTGGGACCCACCCTCATTGAAAGCCTATCTTACCCTTCCTGATCCTTACAGACTTCTTTAAATCTCTAGAATCTTTTATTATAACCATGGTTCTTCCTGACCCTTTCGGCCCTGTGTCAAAGGCAGCAATAAACATCTGTGGAGTGACGTTATCCCCAGGTTGTAGCTCATGGAACTGGCTGGAAGATGTTTTCTCAGGATCTACAGTGTCCAGGGCAAAGTCCAGTCTAGAATCCAGGCCTCCAGGTTCCTAACTGGCCTTTCTTTTGTGTGATTCTTCTTTCTGGAGTCCCTGACCCTCCAAGGGCCCCAGGCCTTGTGATTTTATCAGGAGTGTCTAGATTCTTCCCTTCTTTCCTGCAGGAGACTTCAATTATTTGTATAAGCTTTCTAGCCACCTTAAATCAGGAAACCAACAGGAGAGAGATTTCTGGGAGGAAGGACCATTGTAGCTTTGGTGGAGGGATCAGAGGGGAGGGCCGGGCAGGGTGAGCTCTGAGATTCAGACTCCCTGGGCGGAAATCCCAGCTCCTTCCTGTAACATAACGTCTCTGAGCCCCAGCTTCCTCACCTTTAAAATAAGCAATCATATCCACCTCACGGGGTTGTTGTGGGGTTGTTGTGAGGATTAGATAGCAGATAAAGGGCTTATCTCAGTATCAGTAAACACAAGCCATCAATGATGTTACCACTTATTGGTAGTAAACGGGGGTGGGGCGGGGAGGAAGGGAATTGCAGACCACGGGGTCTGAACAGATGAAGAGAAAGCAAGTCAACATAAGCGGACAAACTATCTCAGCCTCTCCTCGACTTGGAGGAAGGACAGAGACTGTGGGTCTCTACCGAGAGAGAGGTGCGGGCCGTAGGAAGGCAAATCAGAAGGAGGGGTGGGATATGAAGTCTGGGATCAGCTGAGTGAACGTGGCCTCATTCCCATGGGTGGGAACAACCCCAATGAATGACACGAGCTCTGATGAGGTACTCAAACCAGCAACCGCTCGGCAAACGAGGGAGGCTACGACAATGGGGGTTGCCACGGGCAGGGAGCCCTGAAGACTTGTAGTGGGATTAGAGTGGGTCGAGGCTCTAAATCAGGTGCTGGTTTTGCAAAAACAAGAATCTTGGTGCCAGGGAGCTTAGGGTGCCGATCCTGCCCCACCTTGGGCTTTGGTGCTCCTCGTGGGGGGGCAGAGGCTGGGGCTTCAGGAGTGTGTCATTCGCCAGTTGAGGGTCTTGTTGACAGGCGGAGAGAGGCCGTTCGCCAGCCCGACCAGATGCCTTGGAAGAACAGACAATCCTGTAACTTTCCTCGAGTTCTGGGCCCAGAAGGGAACAGCAATGGACCAGGACATCATTGCTATATCAACCTGGACAAGTGCGCCGACCTGAGCTTGGGACTCTGTGTCTCCATGGAGCCTGGCCGCTGACTGCCAGGTGCTCCTGGGGGCCCCAACCACCTGCCTGGCATCAGTGAAGACCTGATGAGGGTCGTGGCCTCCCTTGTCTGTGCCCCCAGGCTCCTCGGGACTCGTGTGCCGTGATGGATTCTGCCCTACTGCGCTGGGGGTGCCCAGGTGGGGACTCCTGAGCAGAGGCCTTCTGAGTCCTCCTTTTCTCAGACATGCTGCCCTCAGGCAGGACTTGGGAACTGTGCCTCCCTCCTGAGCTCCCCGTGAGGGGCCAGGTCAGTTAGTGGACTGGGGAGATTGTCTCAGACACACTTCTTGGAGGAGGTACAGAGGCCCCCGGTGGAGCAGGGGCTCAACTTGAGCACAGGCCACGCCTCTTGGGTTTCTGACCCGAGTGCAGGGCACCTGCTGAGCATGAGGCCTGGGTGTGTGTGAGCGTGTGGACATCAGTGCGGTGTAGTGTGTGCGTGTGTGTGTGGTACGTGTGATGTATGTGCACACGTGAGTGTATCTGTGGGTATGTGTACGTGTATGTGGCACGAGTGTGTGGTGAATTGGATGTGTGCGTGTAAATGTGCAGGTGTGCGTGACTGTGGCCTGTGTGTACATGCCTGTGAGTGCATGTGTGTGTGTGTGTGTGCCCATGCACCAAATGAGTCTCCACAGGGTCAGGCTGACCGCTTGCCCCGCAGTGTTCACCTTTCTCCGGGCCCCAGCTGGTTGCCCACGCGCCTGAGAAAGTGCGGCCGCCAGGGCCTCGATGGCTCGGTCGAGCTCCTCACAGCCCGGGTAGGGGGCACTGGGGGCGCAGCCTTGGGGGAAGAACACAGAGAACCGCTTCAGACATCCCCTCACCCCACCGCAGCCACCCTGCCAGACACTTCACTCCACTTTCGGGAGGCTGGTGTGTGTGCCCCTCGCCTTCGTGCTGTTTCTCTCTCCTCCCGGCACCCGTCCCACCCTCTCTTCCTTTAGGCCGTCACCGTGCCGGGCTGGACACACACACAGGGACGGGCCCTTGAGGCGTGTGGCCTGCTGCCTTGAGTCTGGATGGCTTCCTCCTTTCTGTACATCTCATTCTGTTTCTTACTGTTTCTAAACTCAGAAACGTCTAAAGATGCGCTCATCTTTTTGTCGTGCATCTCATCTGTCCCCAGGCCGCCAGGCACATGCTGTGGCCGCGCCTCCCAGGGCCAGGCAGTGAGTGAGACGTCCTGGGTTATGGGGGTTTCGCTAAAGCGTTGGTTAACTGCTTTTTCCTTTTTGATTTGCTAAAGCTTCTCACATATTATTTTTGAAAAATTGTCCCCCACAAAGGAAAAGTGGAACCCCCTCGCTTCAGTTGGCAGCAGCAACCAGGTTCTAACCCAGCTCCCGTCAGTGCCCGGGACGAAGATGGCCCCGGCCTGGTCTCAGGCAAGCTTCAGAGGAAAGCGTGTTCTCTGTCCTCCTCAGGATCACTTGGCCGGATGTCCCAGACCAGAGATGTACCAACGAGAAGTTTGAGAAGCAGTGGTTTGGAGGGAAGGTCAAGGAAGGCTCTCAACATCATTGCTCAGTCCCCAGGGTTCCACAGGCCACACGCTCACACATGCACACACGCGCACACATCCACCACACCACTCATACTCGCACACGCACGCACACACACGCACACATCCACCACACCACTCATACTCGCACACGCATGCACACACACACACACACGTCCACCACACCACTCATACACGCACATGCACACACGCACACGTCCACCACACCACTCATACATGCACATGCACGCATGCACACACCTACACATACGCACCCCCCCACACCACTCACACACTCTCACACACACCACACGCTCATGCACACGTGCACACACATGCAGCTGCCAGGGAGGGTTTCTGGCGCCTCTGACCTGACCCCTGAGTCCTGTCCCCAGGGCTGGGACCATGAGGACTGTTTATGGAAAAAGTAGCACAACTGCCTGGGCCTCAGCCCCCTCACGCTTTCCAGGGAGTGACCTTGACTGAGGAACAGCCTACCTCCCCCAAAGGGCCAGGCAGCTCCGTGGGGGACGGGGGCTGGGCTCGGAGCAGAAGCCTGGCGCTGAGTGGTGGGCCCGTGGGCTCTGGTGGGGCACGTTCCTTTGTGCCGTTAGCTAGAGGTGGAGGAGGTGTGTGAGGCATGTGCAGCCGGGATCGGGCTTCTGGGCTGGCCCTTCATTCTCTGTGTGAAGCTGGGGGGGTCCTTTAGCCTCTTTAGGCCTCAGTTAACTTATCCATAAAATGGGGATGTGATAATACCACTCACAGGTTTCCTGTGACAATTGAGTTGGTTAGTTAATGGAGGCAATGCTTGTCCAGTGATTATACAGCACCGAGGGCTGTGGAGGACAGCGCCTGGAGAAGGTAGGGTCCCAGGGAGCGGGCACAGGAGGGCTGGGGCAGGCTCCTGTCCTCCGTCAGACCACCATGTGTGCTGGTCTCCCCCTGGGAGCACCTCTCCCCTGGCCCTGTGCCCAGGACCGTCTTCTGCTATCAGGGTGGACACCGCCCGGTCACCGTCCCCAGTGGGATGACACAAGTGAGATGCAGTTAGGCAGTACCCAGTGCTAGCGCTGCTATCACGGCTTTTCACCTGCTGCCGGGGCCCCGCCGCAGGCACCTGCCTCTCACCTGGAGGACGCTGCCGGGGCTCCCTGGGAGAAGCTGCAGCGTGGCTACCCCATGAGTCCTCACTCTGCCTAGCGTGCGCTCTGGCAGCGGCTCTGGCCCCCATCTCCGGGTCTCCAGCCCTGCCCAGGCCTGGCCGCTTGGCTTCTTTGAGGCCCTGTAGGAGGTCCTGGAAGAACCAGGGCTGCGTCACCCTCTCGGGTGTGAACGTCCTCCTCAGCTCAGGCAATTTCCAGAAGGGGTGGGTGGCTGTTTCCTGAGCGGAAGAGATGATGGGCCTGGTTGTCGGGGGTTGGGGCTGACCTGGAGCCCCTGGAGCTGCTGGTGGGCACCCCTGTAGAAGGCCAGAGCGTCGCTCCGGTGCTTGCTCAGCTGGGCTGCCACGTGCAGGCTCTGATCCTCAAGCTTGTCGTAGAGCGTCCGGATGCTGAAGTCCTCCAGGGTCTTGGCCGGCAGTGGCTTCCCTGCCGGAAGAGGCCTTGGGACGAGACTGTGGGATGAACGGGGCCCTGAGCACAGCAGCTTCCCTCCTCCCCGGGGGGCCTTTGCCAGCAAGATGCAGGGGCAGAGGAGGGTGGAGGCCTGCCTGCAGGAAGAGGCCCGCTCAGGGGGAGGGAGGAAAGGCTGGGCTCAGGCTGGTTGGAGCAGGGGAAGGGGAAGACCTCGAGACACAGGAGGTGGCTTCAGGGAGACCCTCCTCAGAGTGGGCGTGACGGACCGGGGCCTGCGGCCTCTGCCTGTCCCAGGCTTGACGTCACACCAGATCTGGGCAACGGGCGCTGCCCCCACGCTCTGCTGAGAGTGGGTCTCCGCGTCCCGGACGCCCCGCCAGCCACCTGAGGAGGCTCCAGGCTGTGCGTGTACCCCTGCCCCTTTCCTCCATGAGCTCATCTCCTGTCCCAAGTTCCCACCACGGGCCCGAGCTCCCCTGCGCAGCTCTCGCCCCGTCTGCCCGCTGTTCCGGGGACTCCTGGCCGGCCGGGCTGACAGCTGCTCCCAGTGACCAGTGGCCCACACCGCGTTGGGCAGACGGCCGAGCTGGCAAAGCACTCGTTGGGGCGAGGTGGGGTCCCCTCCTTCAGGCCGAGGGCTGTGGCCCAGGCTGACCCCAGGGGACTGAATTTGGGTGACCCCACGAAGCTGCTGGGCCTGAGTGGGTTCCCTCACATCCGGCAGGAACACCCCTTGGCCGAGGGAGGGCCTTAACCCCTCGACTTGTTCCCCTCACACCCACTCTGCTCTGCTAGAAGGACACGTCTTCCCCAGTGGGGCCGTCTTGAAGCAAGGAGGACGGAAGGTGGTGTGAGGCCCCCCTGCCGGCCGGGCTCAGCCAGGGCGGCACCTGCAGGATGAGCGTGAGTGTGACGCCGAATGACCACCCACCGCCCTTTCCCAGGCCGGGGGGTGTGTACGGGGGGGAAGGCGAGCCCGTTCACGCTGGAACAGTGATGGGGGCATTCTCGTTCTGAGCAACAAACATGGGCCCGGCCAAGCAGGGCCAGCATTGCCTCTTTCCTCTCTCCGCGTCCAGGGTGGGGTCTGTCCCCCGAGCGTACCAGTCGTCAGGTGGGAAGGGGGGTGGGAGGGCAGCTTTCCAGAAGACCGACCGTGGCCTCCCACTGTGTCAAGGTCTTCCTCCCCATCTGCCCCGTCACTGCCCCCCTCGCCCCCCAAAGGGACCGGTCCTCCGTCCACAAGAACCCTGTCCCACCCCTCTGCGGGACCCCCAGCAGTGAGCCCCGGCCCAGCCCTGGGCTGAATGGAGGCTGCCCTGGGGGGTAGAGCGCTGGCCTCAGTCCCGCTCTATGCAGCCCCTCCCTGTGTCCACGGTTCACACTCAGCACAGCCCACCCGCTGGTCACCCCTGAGGGGTGACCTGGGGGAGGGTGACTGGTTCTGGGCCCGGCCAGTCCTCTGCCCACACCAGGAGGGCGCTGTCGTCACTGTCCAGAGCCCTCAGCGGGGAAGCGGCAACTGGCCTGCAAGCGAGGGGCTCAGGGACTGCAGGGCCAGGCCCGCCCGCGGTTTGGGTGGGTGAGCACACGGGAAGAGGCCTGTGCTCAGCTTCACACGACCAGCAAGACCCCAGGGCTGCTCTCATCCCACGACGATGGCGCCAGTAACCCCCACGTCACTGCCTCCCAGGCCCCTGAGCATCCAACCCACTTCCTGGGGCCCCTGCAACTCCGCAGTTAGGAACCAGTGGAGGTGACGTGAGCTGCGTGAATCCAGGTCAGGGAGCACGACCAGGGCCCTTCCCCGCTCCGCCGACGTCGGAGGTGAGGCAGCCCGGGCAGTGAAGGGTCTTTCCTCCGCTGAGCCCCGCTCCATGCCCCTCTGCACACACTTCCTGGAGCTGGGGGCCAGGTGGGTGGGGGAGGTGCAGGTCCCCCAGGTCCTCCTGAGCTCCAAGGCAGTCCCCAGCTCTCCAGGTGCGAAGAGGAGCTGACGGGGCAGGTGAGTCGTCCCGTAAAGGGATCCTACAGAGCAGTGCTCATCCCTGCCCTGGCCCCAGCCCTGACCACACGGTAGGGATGGGAGAGCTCTGGCCGCTCTCCGGCCTCACCGCCTGGGGGTGCTGGGCAAGCCACTCACATCCCCTAGAGCCTTGGTCTCTGTCTGTAAAAGGTGGACAGAACAACCCCGGAAAACACCCACTTCTAGGTTTTGTTGTGAGGCTGAGACGGCCGGCACGGACTGTCATAAACCATCAGTGGAAATACCAGCTGCTCCCCAGAGCGTGTACCTGGGGTGCAGGTTGGGGGAGGACAGGTGAGGCTGGTACCTGCACCCTGGGCAGTGGTTTTCCCCGTGGAATCCGCTCCTTCCTCAGAGCCCCAGGGACCAAGGTCTTTAGTGAACGGAAGGCTGAAAAGAAGCACCAGCCTCAGTGCAAGACACACACGCCACAGGAGACACGGGGCCAGAGCCGGGGCGGAAGGGGACTCACCAATCCCCGAGGGGCGCATGTTCTGCAGGCGCGTGAGGCCCCCGAGCCCTTGCGGGGCAGGCTGGGGCCAGTGAGGAGGGTCTTAGCACAAGGCCCAGGCCCGTCAGCAGCACGGTTGCCAAGCCAACAGCCAGCAGCACCCCTGAAAGGTGGGGGAGAGGGGTGGGCCTGTGAGACCACGCAGTTCCCCGCTTCCTCTTCCCGCTGCCTCTGGGCTTTAGCGCCTCACAGCCCCCTGCAAAATAGCCCTCGTTCTTGCCTGGGCACTTAACCCTGTCAGGGCTCCGACGGGAGGTTTTCCTCCACCCTGCACCCTCCGGGGGGCCCTCCTGGGACGCTGCTGCTCTGCCCTCCTCTGGCCACCCAGGGCCAGGCCCGGCCCCCATGCCCAGGCGGGCTGCCTCCCCTCCGCCCACCTGGGCAGGCCCAGCCTGGAGCTCGGCGCAGACGGCCAGCTCACGAAGATGGAGGGAGGAAGGCGGAAGACCCACAGAGGAGGCTAGAACAGGTGTGTCCAGATGCCTCCGCTCAGGGGCCCCGCTCACCAGGGTGGGCCGCAGAACCGAAGGGAGCAGGGAGGGTGAGACAGACAACCCCAGTGACGGAAATTCAGTGTCCTTTGCCCGGCAAAGGCAGCCCCAGTTCACGGACAAGCTTGTCCTCGTCTCTGCGGGGCTATGCCCAGCGTCACAGGCTGGAGCCCGGCCCTCCCACGGCCCCTCCGTGTCCCGGCTCCTCTGCCTGCTCTGCGGTCAGCACCTGAGATGGCCGCCCAGTCGGGGCCCAGGTTTGGCACCTGGTGCCTGAGGACGCCGTGCCTGGCGAGCTGATAGGGTGACGAGGGCTGCACGGGGGACAGGCCCGGGTCGCAGGCCACCCACTTCTCCTTCACCAGCACCACGGCGATGCTGTCAGGCAGCCCGTTGTCCCGAAACACGTACGTGCCCGGATCTAGAAACTGGTGAGCAAACCTGGGGGGCGAAGGGCCAGAATGTGAGCAGGTCTGGGGGCCACGAGCCGTGCACAGGAATAACGAGGTCCAGGGAAGCTGCCTGTGACCCCCTCCCATGTGGTCTGCTGCCCCCCGCCCTCAGCCGTCCCTCCTGTCGCCCATCCCTGAAGAGGCGGTGACCTACACTCGAGGCGCCAGTCAGCCCAGCTACGGTCACCTGGAGAAGCTGAGGTGAGTCTCCCGCACCAGGTGGCCGAGGTGCCTGAAGGCCCCGAAGTCCCAGTGAGGGTTGCTGTTGAGCAGGTGCTGCTCCTGGTACACGGGGAAGTGACTGGCCGAGCGATCTGGTGAGTGAACCAGTTGGCCTGGGTTCCAGAGGCTCTCCCAGCCCCAGCCCCGGGCAGCCCACACCCTGTCCCCAGGAGACCGTTTTCAGCCTTTCGTGTACGTAATCTTGGTGCCAGGGCGAGACCCTCCTCCCCTTGGCCTACAGAGAGAGATGCCCCTTAGGGGTGAGTACAAGCGGAGGCCCCTCAGTGGTGGGGTCTGCTCAACTCTGTACCCCTGGCAGGCACTCAGTTCATGCTGTGGGGTAGTTGGGGCAGAAGCACAGGCGGCCCGGGCCTGGCCGTTCCCTCTGACGAGGCCTTTCTCACGCACCAGTGCCGGCGCTTCTCCCTGAGACCTGTCTCCTGCCCGCCAAGGTGCCACACATGCAAATGCCGAGGCTGAGAGGGTGACGTTGCCCCAGGCCCAGTGGGTTTACGGGTTTACGGGAGAGCTGGGCCTGGAAATGCCCAGTCTGCGTGAGTCCTTTCCCTCTTCGAGCTCACTGCCCTGGCACTGCTTTGTGGGGGAGGAACTTGGGCAGCTACGTGACACGTGAAACCAAACACTTGGTCTACTTCTACCTGGGCCAGGTGGCTGTTCTGTTCAAATCTGATTAAGACTGGGGTCTTCAGCCTTGCCTAAGGGAACACCTCGGTCTCTGAACCTTTACTGCCTTGCTTTGTGCAGATATCCTCTGTACTGATTTGTTGTGCTTTTAAAGCAATTAGCAAGCTAGCTTACATTTGTAAGCTCTCTGCCCCCTGTTTTCTCTCTCAAAATCCATTCTTTAGGGGCTTCCCTGGTGGCGCAGTGGTTGAGAGTCCGCCTGCCGATGCAGGGGACACGGGTTCGTGCCCCGGTCTGGGAAGATCCCACATGCCACGGAGCGGCTGGGCCCGTGAGCCATGGCCGCTGAGCCTGCGCGTCCAGAGCCTGTGCTCCACAATGGGAGAGGCCCCAACAGTGAGAGGCCCGCGTACCACACACACACACACACACACAAAAAACCCCATTCTTTAAAAAAAATCTATTGGAGAAAAAACAAAAAAGCCAGCTTGGGGGTTAGCTGCCTCCTGCCTCTGTCTCGGCTGGCTGCCCGCCTGGCGTCCTGTGACGTCCGTGCGCGTGAGCAGGTTGGGGGACGCCCATCCCCGCAGCAGCGCCGGGGGAAACACCAGGTGGGAGAACGGGAGGGAGTTAAAGTCTCCTGAGGGCCTGGACCACCGCTCAGCGTGTGGAGGGTGAATGTGAGCTTGGAGGGGATGAGAGCCTCTTCCACCAGGGAAACAGTTTCGTGGAGGAGGACTCAGGCTTGCTCTGTGAAGTTCCGGGGCTGGGGCTCACGGGGAGGATTTGGCTCACGGTGGGGAAGACGATCCTTATAAACCAAGGCGTCCAAGATGGGGGGGCTGTGGGCAGGGCTAGGGTCGTGCCCTGGCACAGAGCAGCCCTGCAGAGGGGCTGGAGCCCAGTCAGAGGTCACCTTGGTGAGCCCCGTCTCGTCCCAAGGTGAAGAGGTCCGACAACCCCACCTGGAGCTGGAACATCAGCTCCAAGATACGGAATCGAGGCCCCCAGTGAAACGACCAATCAGGCCAAGAGCAAGGGGACAGCGCAGGCCTGTGACTCACTGCTGTGGAGTCTGGTCTGTATGTGAGGTCCCTGGACGGCTGGGCGGGGGAAGGACGACAGAGTCAGGGCGGAACTCACTGTGGTGAAGAATATGAAGCTGGAAAAGAATCGCGTCCCCCTGTGCCAGGCAGATCACTGGGTTTGGAATACGGGGATCGGTGCTGGGATCTTGGGGGGCAGGGTGCTCCGGGCCTGCAGTCCAATGACGACCTTGCTGCCGTGGGCTGGACACAGGCGGACCTGGGACAGTTTGGGGGACGAAAGCTGGAGGACCTGGGCCTGCCTGGGGAGCCACACACCTACCTCTGGGCCCCACCTGTCTTGCTTCCCCTTGAGGAGCAGTCCCAGGCCTCAGGGGGTCTCACCTCCCCAAAGGCTGTCTTCCCACATGACCTGTGATCCCTGTCAGACTGAGGGATCCCCCCACTCCTCCCACCCTCTCTGGGAAAGCCTGGCTCGGTGCCCCTCTGCGCTCACCGAGGAGGAAGGAGCCCAGCACGTTCCGCGTGGAGATGACAAAGCCAAGGATGCCGTGGGGGCCACACTGGACCAGGTGGACCCTGGCACTCCCTTGGAAGGACAGGTCTGGGCCCACTGTGCTTGTTAGTCTCTAAGAACAAAGCACAGCTTTGAACACCAGGGAGGGGCAGCGGGACTTGCAGGGATGGCCGGACGGAAGCCCAACCACCCATCTGGCACAGGTCCTGGTGAGGCTAGGCTCAGCAGTGCCACCCACCCTCTCCCAGGACGTGTTTCCTTCCTCACTAAACTTGCCCCGGTGGCGTCCTGAACCCTGGGCACTTCCTCTCTTCAGGAAACACCCCTGACTCAACTCAGGCCCCTGTACTGAATCATTGTTTTCCTCTCTTTTCTCTCTACCTGCAAACGTCCTACTTATAGAGCAACTTAGAAACATCACCCTGTATCCCAAATCTGCTGTCCAGTCCCAGGCCAGGGGACCCTTCCTACCCTTTCAGTGGCAAGCAGACACAGCCCCCTAGAGCCTCTGGTGGACAGACATCCAGGGCGAGCCGTTCCTGTGTCCAGGCCCTGGTCCTCTGCCCCCGACCTCGACGAAGCATCGAGGCCCTGAAGACAGCCAGGGCCACACCATGGTGGCCAGGAGATGGCTCTGCCCTGTGGCCAGCGGTCTGGGCTGGGACAAGGCTCTGGCTGGGCTCTAGCAGGGTCCACACCATCTCTGTGGTGGTGGGGAGCGGCTTCACAACTCTGGGCCTCGCTTCACACTTCTGTAAAGTGAAGCTGATGATTTCCAAGGTCCCTTCTGGCGTTCAAACTAGATGGTCGACGTTGACATAAGAAACACCACTATTGCCTCCTTCCCGCCCTTCCTTCCAGCCCGCAGATCAAACATTCGTGCAGATAGCAAAAGACCAGGTAGGAAGGCTCTTTAAAAGATGGGCTTTCCCTCCTGCCGCCCGGGTTCTTTAGACTGGTGTTGGGGGTTCTATAGCCACGGGTGCTGGGGCTGTCTGTCTCGAGTAGGCAGAGGCTGCCCATCCTTTCCAGCCTTTCCTCGAGCTGGGCTCACCCTCTGGACGCTGTCCCCAGCCTCGTCCTTCATGCTGAGGATCAGCTCTCTGCTGGGCCCCCAGGCCAGGGAGAGCTGGGGGGCCCTGGCCAGACACTGGGCGTCACAGAGCTCTTCTGCAGAGACGTACTGCTGGCACTGGCAGCTGCGGGAGAGGATGGGGTGGGGAGGGGTCTGTCTCAGCGGGCTCCATGTGCCCCTCAGCCAGCTCGGGCTCCTCTGGAGGAAAGTGAGCTGCCTATGCTTCCTGAGCAGCGGCTGCACTTTCGGGGGAGGTCCTGAGGTGACTGGACAACACGCTCTCGCCCCTGGCCCTGCGCCAGCCTGGGCACGTCCCGGGACAAGAGCAATGCCTGGGACAAAGGCCTTGTCCTGGTTGGGGGGCTCGGCACTTTTGCTCGGCCTCCTGTCAGGGTGGAGTGTGGCGAGGGTGAGCTGCTCAGCCTGGAACGCTGCCAGCGCAGCGGCTGCCCTCCACAGCCTGCTCCACCCAGTGCAAAGGTCAGCTGGAGGTCTAGAACTCAGGACCGCATCAGGGCCCCCCCTGGCTTGGGGTCCAGTCAGGGTCAGCTCCTGGCAGTTGTGGGGGCCTGGGGTCTGGACCTCACTCTTCCCTGCTGTCAGTGCTCCCTCAGGCTGGGCCGCTTGCCCCGGCTGTGCTGGCTGGGCGCCCATCTCGGGATGCGCACACAGGCAGCTTCTGGAAAGACCTTGCAGGAGTCGGCTCAGTCTGGGTCCTGCCAACAGCCTCCTGGACGGGCCCTCGGGGGACGGTCAGGACCTGCCTGGAGATGGTGGCTTCATTATGCTCTCAGCGGCTTTTCGTCACTCACATGCCCAGTCCAGCGCTGAGCTCCCCGCCCACTGGGCGACAGAAGAAGGAGCAGTCGTACTGCTTGGGGGACACACACGTGCGGGTGGCGGCCAGGCGGACGTCTCCAGGAGAGCAGCGCTCCACGACCTGTGGGAGGGCGTGGGAGGAGAGTCCTGGCCCAGCACCTGCAGGCCTGGGGTGCACCAGAGAATATTCCAGGGACAGGGGCAGGGTCTCAGGGGGAGCCAGGCCCCTCTGAGAGGTCATGTAGTCAGCATGCTAAGACTAGGGTTAGGCTTGAGGGCAGAGGGGAACCCACAAAAGTAGTAGGAGACAAGTGAGCTGCCTTGGGAGGTATTTGGGAGGCCTAGCTCTGGGGAGGCCGGACCCAGGTTCCCACACAGCAGCTAAGATGACCTCCTAGGAGATGAGTAAGGATCAGCAGGACGGAAGGTGGGGGCTCGTCAGGGAAGGCTTGCTGGAGGAGGTGGTGGTGAAACTGGTTTTGAAGAAGAATTGTGAGGGCAAGACTCACAGAGGGAGGGCGGTTCAGAGGTCAGAACGACCAGAGGGTGTTGGGGGGGCCGGCCCAATCAGCGGGGCTGGGGTGGAGGGGTCTGCAGGAGGGCGTAGCAACAAGTGAGGCTGGTGAGCTGGCTGGGCGGCCACCCGCGTGTTACCCTGGGCCCTCACCATCTGCCTGCCTCCTGAGAGTGGGGGTCCAGGAAGGAAGGGGGCTGGGCGGCCACAGCCCCCTCCCTGGAGGTCATGTCGGGGAAGACACACTCCCACCTGAAAACCTCAGTTACTTAGGCCAGTGGTAACCAGACTTTTCATCCTGCTTCCCGAGAGTAAAAAAGTACTGTAAAAAATATTGTGATAATATACACTAGACTGAGTATAATATATACGCACACATGTAAACGCAACTGAAAAGCTAACGAGGAGAAAAAGTGAATATGAACCGTTCTGATACTTCCTTCTTGTACCTCAGTGGCTTATCTGGAGCACACCCATGTTGAGACGGGCTAGGTGAGGCCCAGAGCCTTCCCTGTTCCCTGAAGAGGGGTGACAGGTGAGGGAATTGGCCTATTAACATCAGGGATGGGCTTTAGGTGACGCCCATGAAATAAGCCACGCCTCTGATTGGGGATCTGATCTGTATGTGATCGGAAGACGTGTCAGAGTGGAGACATGTGTTCCCTGTCTCCACTAGGCCTCCAACTAGGAGACAGGTTTGACCTTCGGGGCCAGGAGGTGGGCCAGACAGTGTGTCAGTCCCCACGCAGGCCAGTGTGAGGCACTTGAAGGCCTCCGGCTGGTAAGCAGCTCTGAGCGGGAAGGAGGGTGCCCCTGAGGGAGGGAGGGCGTGGGCCCGCAGGGAAGTCAGAGAGGTGCGGAGGACGGACGGGTGGGAGGGAGCCCAGCTCCTTACAGACCTGAGTAAGCATGCAGGGAGCTGGGCCAGTTGGTGACATGAAGGACAGGTGCCCCGACTGTTCGAGGGAACAGCTTCTCATCCAAGCTGAGGGCCCTCAGCTGAGCTGAGACTTGAGCAAGGCCTGGGAGCTAGGTTAGCCAGTGGCTTTTCAAACTTCAGCGAATATCAGAACCACTTGGAGGGCTTGTGGAAACCCAGTTTGCTGGGTCCCACCCCTGGGGTTTCTGATCCAGTAGGTCTGGGGTAGGGCGCAGGGTTTGCATTTCTAACAAATTTCCAGGTGATGCTGATTCCGTCAGTGCAAAGATCACACTTTGAACCACCGGTCTAGGATAAGGCAGGATGCAGAGCCTTTTGTACACAGGGGAGAGGGGCTCCGACAGGGAGGGACCACTGGAAACTGAGGACCGCGTGACTTAGGGCTCCGGGCATGCTGGAAGCCAGCCAGGCTGGGGCCAGGGCCAGGGGCTGGTGCCTGTTTCCGCCGGTGGGGATAAAGCAGCACGCCTCAGCCTGTTGGCTTTTCCCCTGTTGAGCAGCGGGGTCTTCAAACGGGAAGGTAGAACGGCCTGATGAAGTGGACGGGTGGCCAGAGGAGGAGGGTGGTGAGAGAGCAGCGTCTCAGATGGAGCTCCTGTCAGACTTGGGTGGGCAGGCGGCCTTGGGGTCCTGACTGTTGTCTTGTTTGCTGTGGCTCAAATATGGGATTAAGACCGACTGATAATTGGAGGTTTGGACTCAAAGGGGAAACCTCCGAGCAGATAGGGGCCTGGGCGAGGGGCTGAGTGAGCTGGGGCAGCACCGGGGGCAGCTGTACCACACTGGTTGGGCAAAGTGTCCCCCATAAAGATGTTGCTGCCTTTTAGGAGGAAGTCGGATCCAGAGCCTCCGGAGCCGGCTCTGAAGGGAGGGCGTCTGGATCTTGCTGCCACCAGGGCTGTGTGCCTGGGGAGGGGACATCCTCCTGCAGACCCCTCCACGCCAGCCTGGCTGATTGGGCTGGCTCCCCGACGCTCCCCAGCCTCTAGCCTCCTGGCCCACACGGGATGGTCACCCCTGCGGGGGCGACTCCAAGACCCTTTACGAGGCTGAGGTCCTGGGGCTCTGTGATAAGGAGAGGCCCCGAGGTCGCCCCACTTGTGCAGGACGTAATCCTTGGGTGTGGCCCACGGAGGTGCCCGGCAGGCACGGACGGACGGCGCTCCCCTTGCCCCCCTCGGCCGCGGGGCTACCTGGGGCTGACAGTCCTCTTCGCTGCTGCTCTCGCCCTCGTAGGACTCATGTCCTGCCCGGCAGATGCAGGAACCGTCTGACTTCTGGAAGACCCTGTTCAGTCCCCGGCACGTGCAGTGGGAGGCACCTGGGGAGAGAGGGTCCCGCAGCCGTCCAGGCACCTGGCAGGGAGCCAGTGGCAGCCAGGTGGAGGGAGCAGACACCTGTCTTTACCAAAGTACTGACCTGGGGGGTCTTTGAGGGGGTTGAATGAGATTTTCCAAATCTCAACCCTGGCTTTGCATTAGAATCTGAGAAGTGTTTAAAAAACATCAATGTCTGGGTTGAGGTCTGGGTCCCCTTTAGACCAATTAAATAGAAATCTCTGAGGCAAGGCGAGGCCAGGACAACGTAAAATAGATAGCTAGTGGGAAGCAGCCGCATAGCACAGGGAGATCAGCTCCGGTGCTCTGTGACCACCTAGAGGGGTGGGATAGGGAGGGTGGGAAGGAGATGTAAGAGGGTGGAGATACGGGGATATATGTATACATATAGCAGATTCATTTTGTTATACAGCAGAAGCTAACACACCATTGTAAAGCAATTATACTCCAATGAAGATGTTAAAAAAAAAAAAAAGTGCCCGCAGAGCTTTATTGTTCAGCCAAGGCTGAGAGCTAGCGATGCAGCTGAACACCCCCGACACCTGTGGAAGTTGTTGCTCCTACTTGGATCACAGAAACCCTCTGACATGTCATGAAGGGCTGGCACAGGCCTCTGTCTCTAGGCAATTAGCGGGGGGGGGGGGGGGGATCTGAGAGGGAAGGCCGCTCAAGAAGCTTGAAGGATGGATGGACTGGGTGAGTGCAACTGGGAGGACAGGGATTCTCAGCAGAGAAAGTGGTGGGTAGGGAAGCTTAGATTTTCTTTGGAGACAAAAGGGGTCCAGGTGGATGTTCTCTGGGAGAGGCAGCTAGGGGGAGGTAGAGAGGGGGCCTTGCAGGGGACTAGGATTCACTGCAATTCTGGCCAATTCAACCCTGTTGGGACTGGCGTCTCCTTGGGAGAATAAAAACACTCATTTAGGGTGTAGCCTTTGTCAGTTTGCTGCAGGTAACCACCTGTGCACAGTGCACAGGAGCCAGTAGACCCGCAGCAGAACTTGTTGAGTGAATTGATTAAAGCTGACATTTTTTTGCTAACATGGTTACATTCTCCCCCTGTCCCCCCAAATTTAGGGACCATTAACATGAGAGACACCTATTTCTACTGTAGAGAAGGTCGGGAATTGCTCAATGCTGAATGACACAAGGACTATTCTTCCACCAGTCAGGTCGGCCAAGGCCCCTCTGCTCCCTTGAACTCTAGAATGTGTTTTGGCCCATCTGGACCAGCTCCCTGCAGAGACCTGGGCACCATCATGCCCTTGGAGTCTTCCGTCTCTTCTCAGTGTCCAGAGCACTGGGCTCCAGACCTGGCTTGTGGCCTTGTGGTCCCACAGAGGTGCCTTGGGAGCTTCTTGGGTGATGGAGGGACTAAATGGGAGCACTTATGAGACCTCACCCTGGACATAAGTTTCATATTAATTCACTAAGCAAGAATTTTTGGAAAAAGTTTTCTGTTGCTAAAGAATACTTTGAACAAGAGTCTGAAAGCTTGGCGTGGCATTCATGCCTATAGAATTGATCACTGATCTATATTAGAAGCATCATTTTTTAATGTCTGCCTGCCACCAACCCAACCCAGCAAGATTTTACTCATCTGCCAGTTCCTGTTTAAATATAACACTTAAACATTTTGGGGCTTCCCTGGTGGTGCTGTGGTTAAGAATCTCCTGCCAACGCAGGGGACACGGGTTCGACCCCTGGTCCAGGAAGATCCCACATGCCGCGGAGGAACTAAGCCCATGTGCCACAACTACTGAGCCTGTGTGCCTAGAGCCTGTGTTCTGCAACGAAGAGTAGCCCTCACTCGACGTAACTAGAGAAAGCCTGCACGCAGCAATGAAGACCCAACGCAGCCAAAAATAAATAAATAAAACATTCTCCATAAACTTTCCCTGATCCTGCCATGAAGAAGCAATTTCTTCCTATTTTGAACCATCCAGACTTTTTGGTTCTTTTCTTGTGGCACTTGACACTTCTGCCCATTTGTTTTGTGTTTTTTCTTTCTTCCGAGTAGACCTGTCTCAGTACCTTCCACAGTGCCTTTGTGGTACTAACAACAATTGGAGGCTAGTGTTTATGAGCTGACCTTTAAAATAAATTACCTAAAACAACCTCCATTGCATCCCAAAAGGGAAAGAGGCAGCTTACAAAAGTGCACATACCTGCAAGACTTTTCCTGCCTTTGGCAAGGGTAGAGTAGCTTATTTCAGGGCAATCTTCCTATGACACACAACAGAAAAGCCAGAAAAATATAGAAAACCTCTGTTTGAAGGCCTAGGGAGCTTAATTGAGGACTTAAGGAAAAGAGAAAGGAAATGCAGAGGGACAAGCCCACATTTGGGACCCGCTTCCCTGAAAGGCATTTGCCTCTCAGTGGAGAGCCTGAGAAGGTGAGCATAGCTTCAGGAAGTCTCACATGGCCCAGGGACCACCAGGAATGAGGGTCTCTGGTAAACATGAGACCCTCAGTGTTTCTGGCTTTCAGCTCGAAGCACTGAAGAGCTACACCCAGGTAAGCACTGACTCTTGTGAAACCTGAAGCCCAGCACTGATTTTCTGAAGCCCTGATGAATGGAGGGAATTTGTTCCTACTGTAACTGGTTTCCAGAGTGAAAGTAATTCCTCTACGGAGGAAGGTACAGAATCAAGAATTTCAAAATTTCTCTACAATTTTCATTCACTAAGTCTAGCATTCAATTAAAAAAAGCATATAAACAAACAAACAGTAATTGCTAAGAAATCCAAAGGAAAAAAGACAGAGAGTAGATATGGCTCTCAAGAGATCCAAATACTGGAGGTGTGATACGTGACATATACTTTAAACTGTGATTAGTATATTTGATAAATCAAATAACAAGATGGAGAATTTCAATGGGAAACAGGAAACTATTAAAGATGAATAGAAATTCTAGAACTGAAAGATTCAATAGCAAAAAATAAAGTATCTTTAGATGTATTTAATAGCAGATTATATGGAGATGAAAAGAAAATAGAGTATAGGTCTGAAAAAACCATCCAAAATGAATCTCAGTATGAGAAAATAAAAGATAAAAATTGCAGAAAATAGTGCAAGAGACACGTGCATGGTGAAAAGAGATAATATATGTGTAATGAGAGATCCAAAAGGAAAGGAGGAAGAAGAAAACAGAGTAAACATTTAAAAATGTAATGGCTGAGAATTTCACAAAATTAAAAGACATCAAACTACTTGAGAAGTACTAAAGAAACTCAAACAGGATAAATACAAAGAAAAAAATTTAGTTATATTCCTAAAAACCGAAGACAATGAGAAAATCTTAAAACCACCCAAGAAAAAGGATATTTACCTGCAAAGAGCAAATAAAGGACTTATATAAGACTTCTCAACAGAAAAAATGGAAGCCAGAGGCAATGGAAGTGTATCTCTGAAATGCTGAAAGAAAATAACTGTCAAGCTAGAATTCTCCGCTTAGCTAAAATATGCTTTAGGCTAAAGCTGAAAAGAGACATCTTTAGGCAAACAAAACATTAGAAGATGAAATTTTAAAACCTAATAGCATTTACAATAACATCAAAATATATCAAATACCTAGGAATATATAAATAAATATATATCAATACCTAGGAGTACATAAATATATGTATATATCTCGTTATTTTCTGAATTGTGTTCTGATTAGACTTCTCAACTTCTACAAGAAATCCCACTCCAATTAACATGTTTTCCCTTTTTATTTTCTAAAAGCGTTGTTCATTTCCTGTGGAGGATATTAGTGAAGAGTCAAAATTCACTCTTCCTGAGTAGATATCCAGTTGGCATGGCACTTTTACTGAAAGAACACTCATGTTTGCCATTAATCAAACATCTCATACACATGTAGGTCTATTTGAAAATCTATCCTGTTCCATTGGTCTTTTATCCTGTCCTTGCATAAACATCCCCCTGTCCTAATCACTGTAGCTTAATAATAAATCTTATCGGTAGTCTGTGTCTGCCAACTTTGTTCTTCTTTTCAAGGTTGTCAGCCATTTTTGGCCCTTGAATTTCCATATGATCAGGTCATATCCACAAAGATCATAACTGGAATTTCTCTTGGATTGCACAGAAACAACAGATCCTTTGGGAGAGAGATGACATTTTTATTATATTGAGGCTTCTAATCCTTGAACATGGCTTAACTTTCCTTTTATTTATGTCTTTTTTATTTATTTTAGACAGCACTTAGAACAGTGCCTGGCATGTGGTAAGTGCTCTTAGTACTATCCTAGGTAAAGTCTGCCAACTTTGTCTGTGGACCTCAGCGCTCATTCGGGCGCAGGGCTGGAAGAAGCCCACACTGAGGCTAAATGTGTGGGATGCGTGGGACTTTGATCCCCACTGCGGGATCATCTGGCTGCGCCTCCTGCTGGCACAGTAGACCAGTGCAAACGGCTCACGCAGCAAAAACCATGTGAAGAGATCACATCTTTGAAATGAGGGGAGGTTAGGGGGTCAGCAAGGGGTCATTGCCTTACAGCTCTGCACCTGATCCCTTGGGGGACTTCAGAGCAGCGGCCCCAGATCCCTGCTGGGCAATCCCAGGTGGAGTACCGGCCCCCGTCCCCGCCCCCAGCCTGGTCCTTGGAGCAGTTTGCTCAGCCTCTCCGAGGGTGTCCCACGTGCTCCCTGGTCTGCGTGTTGAAGTCACCACCCAGACTCTCATTTCACCCACGCACCCCACGCTGGGATGTACTGCGGCTCTCGGGAAACAACTCCCCTCAACGATTAGGTGGCTTCTGTCAACCTTACACCGTTGACCCTCAAAGCTGCAGGGACAGGGGAACTGGTGTATTTGGAGCCCACGTCTGCAGACAAGGGCGACGAGCCAGCTGGGGCCGGTGGGCACGTGAGACTCACCCGGTGGAGAGAAGGCAGAGCTCCCGCAGGGGAGGCAGCCTGCCTGGCCTGGCTGGGCATTGAAGGAGCCTGCAGGGCAGGGCAGACACTCTTCCACTGCCCCCGCCTGCCTGCTGCTCCTAAAGGCTCCCGATGGGCAGGGCCTGGGGCTGCGCGTCCCGGCAGGACAGTAGTGCCCCACTGGGCATGGCTGGCTGTGGTAACTCTCTGTCCCTGGAGGGAAATGGAGGGGAAATTCTGAGCCGTGGACTCCCCCTAAGGCGGGGACAGAACCTGCGAGAGAGAGTCCAGAGAGTCCAGGGGAAGAATGAGCTTGCTGGGGTGTGGGGGAGGGGAGGGGAGCCCTCAGAGCACGTACAGAGAAGGAGTCGGAGGCCCTGTACCCTGCTGTGTCTCCCGCACTCCCAGCGGTCCCCTCGCCTCCATCTCACCCTGCAGACACAGGGCGGTGTGTCTGGCCTCCCTCACACACTGGGCAGCCCTTGTCCTATTTTTGAGAGCATCCGGGCCACGGGCTCCAACATGCTCATTTGTATGGTGTTGTGCACAGTCTGTGATTTGTAGGTCTTTTAAACCTAACATCCAGACAGACAGGGTGTCTACTTGCTCTGAGGCCTGCTTCATCTGTGCCCTCCCTGTGCGCTTGGGTCTCTCTGTCTCAGGCGGCCGGCCTGGCCGAGAAGAGCTACGGGCCTGTCCCGTGCACACTCCCAGGGGTCCTGCAGGCCTCTCTCCACCTGCCACCTCCGTCCGCCTCACCAGTCTCAGCCCACTTCTGACCCGAGGACCAAGCCCTACCCCCCTGGTTCCCAAACTCACCCTGGTGGCAGCTGAATCCGGGGGGGCAGGGCTGGCAGGGCAGGGCGTCCAGGGCCCGGCTGTGGTAGGTGCCCGCTTCACAGAGGCGGCAGCAAGTCTCCTGGGAGACTCTGAGGCCACTTCCATTCAGGGCCTCGGAGCCCCCAGGGCACGCACGTGGATGGATGCTGCCCGGGGGGCAGTAATAGGGAAACACGCAGCTGCACAGAGACACAGAGCCCAGACCCCATGTTCATGCTGATGGGGTCTGTGTGTGCTGTTGCTTCTCATCTCACCAGCAGAGCCCCGACATAGCCCAGGCTTGGGCCTTAAGCTGCCAGGGGGAGGGCAGACTCCGATATTACCCCAGATGGGGGGCTCTGGGGTTGCCTTGTGTCTGGTGGGGCCTGAGCAGGTCGAGTTGCCTTCCTGGAAGTGGCTGAGCCATGCCCAGGCGGCCAGGCCATTGGGCAGTGCCACGTCTGCCCCCCTGCCCACCTCGCCCTGGACAAAAGGATGTGTGGACCAGACATGATTGGCGGGGGCGTGGTGGGGTGCACAGCCAGGCCTGTTGGGGTGTCGGTCCTGGACACAGGAAAGGGGCTGCCAGATGAAGTTCAACGTGCCCAGGCATATTTGAATTTCAGGTAAACAATGAGTATAAGCACTCCCGCATATTGCTTGGGCCACACTTATATGAGCAATGTGTCTGTTGTTTAACTGAAATTCAAGTGTGACTGGGTTTCCTGCATTTTCTTTACCTGAATCTGGCCAGCCTGCAGGACGGCCCTAGAAGCCCATGAAGGACATCTCAGTGCAGTTGGCTTCCTCATCCTCCTTCCCTGGGACAGAGGCACGGAAGACCAGGCAAAGGGGTACCAGGTACTTGTCTCTGAGCCCTGCTTTTTGGCCTGAGACCTTTGGGAACCCGAGGGAGGTGACCCCTGTCGGGGGGGGAGCCCGCGGGCTGAGACGTGCTGAGGGGCCTGACACTCACACGATGGGTGGGGTACTCACAGCTGCCCTGGGCCGGTGTAGGTGGAAGAGCCGGCAGGGCAGGTGTAGCCTGCAGGACAGAGCGGGGGGGTCCCAGTCTGGGGCCCGCAGTAGGAGCCAGCCCTGCACATGACCTCAGCCACAGCACCTGAGGGAGACAGGGACAGGCCGAGCCACCTAGGCCCTGGGGAGATCCAGGTGGCACAGACCCAACCAGACTGGGTGGACCTTGGGGGGCTGGGCAGATGGTTTGGGAAGGCAAGCAGGTGGCCATGCAATGCCTGCGTGATGTTCTCTGGGCCTCCTGCGTGAGCTCCTGGCCAAACCTGAGGGGGGAGCGGGGGAGGGCTGGGGGAGGGGCTGGGAGGGAGCGAAGGGTCACAGTCTCACCTGCAGAGCACTCAGATCCAGCTCTGCAGGGGATTGGAAACACATTTGCTCGGCCGCTTTGCTCAGCCTCTGGGCAGTAGTAGCCAGGGGGACAGAGCTCACAGTCTTCCCATGATGAGGCCCCTGGCTCTGTCCGAAAGGTTCCAGGTGGGCAGAGAAAGGCACCCTGACCACCTGGGCACCAGTAGCCTGGAGGACATGGGTGGTCTTCGAAGGAAGAGAGACCTGGGGCAAAGGCAGAAGGCAAGGGAGGTGCCTCCTGCTGGCCTCTCGACTCTCCTCCCCAAAGGTCTCAGCATCTGGCCTGGAGACGGCCTCTCACCTGGGGACGCGCAGTGGTACCCGGCGGGGCAGGGGAGGCACTCTGTCAGACTCTCGGCCCCTTCTGCTGCCAGGTAGGTGTGCGCAGGGCAAGCCTGAGGGGTTCCTGGGTGGGTCTCACTACCTCCAGGGCAGTAATGACCGGTGGGGCAGGGGTAGATGGCCGGGGCCCCTGGAAAGCAGGGTAGGGCTCGGGCTCCATCCTCCCCTCCTGCCCAAAGGGCCTCCCCGGGCCCTTCTCAGGACCAGCACACCCCAGGCTGTGACACAGGTGCCTCACCGACTTTGCACCAGTGCCCGGCGGGGCAAGGCCCGCAGTCCTCTTGCTGCTTGGCTCCTGGGGCTGCTGCGACAGTGTGACGTGGGCACAGGCTGGGCTCTCCACTGCCCTCGGGGCAGTAGAAACCTGCAGCACACGGGGTCGTGCTGGAGTCCTTGGAAGGCAGGGAGGCTGCTCCTCCGGGGCAGGTGGGGAACTGTGCCAGGACTCTGGGGGAGCTGTGTGTGGGGGCGCCCGGGGGATTCTGCCAGCCCAGGGGTTGAGAGGTCTGGGTGCCAGTCCTGGCTCCCCTTGCTTCTGCATTTGTCCAGTCAGTAACCATCTGAACTGCATTGGGTGCATATTCATATCAGATATTACGTACATGTGGTATGTGTAATTACATACACATGTATATGCATGTACATACTAGACGAACAACAACTGGGGTCAACTATTTTTAGAGTCTGTTTGTGACACACAGAAAAGGTTCTTTGCTAGGGTGGGTTCTGTGGTGACAGCTGGACAGCCTTGCTCTCTGCCTCTTTCACATCCCAAGGGCAAGAAATGGGGGCTGTTACCTGGTGGGCACTGCTCGGCACATAGCTGTCCCTGGGAACACGGGGTCTGGGACTCCCTTGGACCTGATGCCGTCACTTCAGAGGTCCCAGGTGGGCAGAAGTAACCAGCAGGACATTCCCCCCATACCTGTCTGCCTCTAACAGCCAGGGAGAGGGAAGAGAGTGACCAGGATGGAGGGGCCCATCTGACCCCAGTGCCCCAGCGCCAGGGGGAAGCTTGCCCTGGTTTTGGACAGTTTCACTGTGACCCATAGTGTAAAAGACCTTTGACCTCTGCTGCAGGAGCATGTGTGAATATAGCCAAGTATACGAGAGAAAAAGATGAGACTCTTCACCCAGCAGGGGAGCAGGGTGTGAGGCTCACACCCGGGGGCCATCGCAGTAGCCACGAGCCCCGTCCCTGCACTGCCTCCGGGAAAAGCTGGATATCTTTTCTCTATGGCACTTGTGGGGCCCAGTGGATAAAGCGCAGGACCCCGGCTGCCATCAGCAGCACGAGCCCCCCAGGAGAAGCTTGGAGGCCCTGCTGCACTCGCTGTGGGCTGAGGAGGGAGAGGACAGACAGCAGGTACTGTCCCCAGGTGTGCTCAGGGCCCAGGGCCCGCCGGGGCCTGGGCTTGGAGCCACCAGTCTGACCTCCTGCTCTGCAGCTGGAGAAAGCAGACTAGACCTAACGATGAACTTCCTGAGATGGGAGAGGAACCTGCAGAGGGAGAGTCCGAGGAGTCCTCTGCTGTCACCTGGTAAGTAGAGGAGGACCCGCTTTGAAGCAGGTTCATCTCTGCATGAAATGTCCAGCAACTCCTCTTTTGATGACCCCTGTCCCCAGTCTCCAGAAACTGCCTTTAGCAAACGTCGGGAGCTTTCCCTGGACGAGAGACCACCAGTGTGGTCTCTTTTGTTTTGATTGGCTACTCTGAGCGGCTGAGCCTGTCCCTAAGGTCTCGGGAAAGGCTGGAAGCCGGGGAGCCTCCACCCCCGAGGCTGTGCGTCTCTGAACCCCAAGCGCAGAGTCCTTGCTGTGACATTCCACGGACGGGGCAGCCAGGTGCCACCACGCACATGTTTTACACATAGAGGAGGGAGGGGGTATAGGAAGTTCAGGAGGAATTTGGACCTTAAGGCCTGCTTTCTGATCATTCTGGTTAAAGAAACCATGTATTGTCTGTCCAGCCCAAGGGATTACAAAAGCTATTCACACTATAGAAAATTCAGAGGTAGAGGTACAAGGAAGAATTGTCCATCTTTCCCCTGAGTGTATGTGCAGGACACTGGTATCGCCTAGAGGCACAAAGAGTTTCACCTGTAAGGAACTGCCCCTGTTTTTAGGCAGGAACTGAGCAGAGCTATTTTCATTTCATATCCACCCTCGCTCAGTTTGAATGTATTTTATTTATCTTAAAATCCAAGTCTGTGCTAAGTGTCCTGGCTTTCTAGCTGTCTTTGCCTAATTGTCAGGCTTTCCCTCCCTGTTCAGGTCCATGCAGCCACGTGGGGCTGTGATCTCACCTGCAGCCTTTTGGCCTCTTACACATTAGCTCCCACACCCACGGGTTGGGGCCCTTGGGACAGACTAGGGGACCCACCGGGCCTCTTTAGCCAGAGTGTGCACTTTGATGGCAGTGGCAGGAGGTGAATGAATCTGGGCTGTTACTGACCTGCAGTAGTGACCAGGGGGACAGACGGAACAGTCACCCTCTTCCCGGAGGCCCAGTGTGTCCCTGGGAGTGAAGGTCCCTGGCGGACATGGAGGTGGAGACCATGTCCCTGGAAGAGGGGGAGCAGCTAGTGAAGACGGGCAGCCGAAGGCTCAGGTCACATCTGTGCCTCTGGACCTGCCCAGACGGATGGATTCACAGAGGGCATCGCATCCTGCTGCCCCTGAGGGCGCTGAGTTTCTCACGCTGCTTTCTCAGAGCCGACGGAGTGACGACAGCGTGGTGACCTCGATGTCTCTCTCTAGGGTCATTGTCTCTTTCCAAGAGGAACTCCCTAGCGGAGGGTTTTCAGAGAGCAGTGAAGCTGTTTCGGGGAGAGCGGCTCAGTGAGGTGCGTGCTGTTGGTCAGGTGTGTGGGATCCCTGGGTCTGAGTGCGTCTCATGGGGAAATGCACCCCCTCCTCCCCGCCCTCCCTCCACAGGGCCCTGCTGCCCCGCCTGGCTGGGTGGGTGGGACGCTCCTGGGCCAGTCCCACCCTCCTCGACTCAGCACCCACAGCCCCATCACATCCGCAGCCCCTGTCCTGGGGGCTGCCGTCTGGCTTTGCTGGCCTCAGTGTTTCCTTGTGCATGTGGGCAGGGCTGGCAGCTACCAGTGTACACACCTCGAATGGAAATGAAAAATTTCCTGACGGGGAAAAAAGGTTTAGAGGGGCAGCCGGAGTGGGGGTAAGAAGCCGGAAGGTGGGGGTTTAGTTAGGGGAGGATGAGAGTAAGACAGTCAGCACCTCAGCAAGGGTGGGCTGAAGGTCTGGGGGTGAGCCTGTGAGTCCAGGAGAGCTGTCCTCTCCTGTGTGTGTGTGTGTGTGCATGTGTATGACTAGTACAACATGTAGTCACCAGGACAACAGGCCAGGTTATTAGAACTTGTCATGTCCTAAATATTCTGGGGGAGAAGATCACTCATTTAAAAGGGGCATAACTTTCACACCACAGGCACGGGAAAAACAAATGTATGCATCACTTGTGGCTCAAACACTTATGAATGTAACGCACTCAGCACTCCTAAAATTGGCAGGAGGATCTTCTCCCAAGTTCACCTAAGACATGACAAAGCTTATGGACTTTTGTGGACGCCTATCTGTCTGCTGGGCTGCCTGCAGACCGCATATGCGTGTGTGGGCACGTGTGTACATCTGGGTGCATCTGCTGTGTGTGCATCTGTGTTTGTGAGCATGTGTACCATGAGAGTGTGTGAGAACCCTTGTGTCCATGTGTGCATGTACTCGCAGGTGCATGTGCGAGCTGGTGTGAGAGTGGCATGCACAGTGTGTTCTGGGTTAGCAGACTTGCAGTGGCTGTGGCGCTGCTGTCTCATCTGCCACTGCCCCAGGACCCTGACAGCACCGCAGGGCCCCTCTCCAGGCGGAGCTCAGGAAGCCGCCGCAGATCGGTGGCCCAGACGGGCACAGGCAATGACCCCTGTTTGCCATCACCTGCGGCCCAGCTGCTCTCTGGGGCCCCCAGGCTGAGTGCGGGGAAGAGGCAGGGCACTGAGCATGGGTAAGTCAACTGATGGAGAGAAGAGAAGCAAGAGGGTGGGTGGGAGAGTGAGGGGTGGGATCGGGGCGAGGGGAGGACGGAGGCTGAGGGTAGCTCGTCGCGCCGGCCTTCCTAGTGCGAGCTTGGCGCCGACACGCGTTGGCCCTCCATGGATTTTGAATGAAAGAGTGAATAGATGGATGAATGAATGCATGAAAGGAAGGAAGGGAAGGGGGAAGATAGGGGAGCTGTTGAGAAAGAAGAGAGTCCGGGAGGCGTGGGGAGCTGAGGGCTCCTGGGCGTACCGGCTGGGCAGTAGGCGTGCGCTGGGCAGGGCTTGGGCGCTCTGGTTCCAGGCTGTGGGCAGTAAAATCCAGGTGGACACTGGAGGCAGGTGTCTGAGCCTGGGGAGGGCTGGTACTGTCCTGGGTGGCACAGGGCAGGCCAAGCAGCCCCTGGGTGGCAGAAGTGACCCTGGGCAGTGGACGAAAAGCAGCGCCTCTGAGGGCCAGGCTGGGTATCGTCAGGGTGCCCAGGGGCTCGGGTGGGTCAGTGCCTTGTCCTTCCTTCTGGCTGGTTCAAGGCCCTGCTGACTGGAGCGCAGGAGGCCAGGGGGCTGGATGGGGCAGCTGCGGAGAGGATCAGGGTCTAGGAGATGGGGAGGTGAGGCCCCTCCTGTGAGGCACTGAGCGCTCCAGCCTGAATCCCAGGCGGGGATCCCTGGCTTCCCCGGGCCTTGGTGCCTGGGCCCTCTCCCGCCGCTCCCAGGGAGGTACCTGCGGGCAGAGGACAGCCATGGGACCAGAGGCCCTGGGGTCCCAGGGGCATTCGGAGCCAGCCACACAGGAGCCAGGCGGGGAGCTGAGGCCTAGGCTCGGGCAGAATGAGCCAGCTGGGCAGGGCCTGCAGCTCTCCTCAGAGATGCCACCTGGAGAGAGAGATCCCCACGCTGGAATATCAGCCCCTGAAAACAGAGACCTTCCACTGCTGGGCTCACGGCCGTCCACCAGGGCCGGAACGGAGTTGGTGCCACGGGCATCAGGTCTCGAAGTAGCTTTGGCCAGGGCCTCCCTCAGGGCACCTCTGGCATTTTGCAGGCAGAGCCCCACTTTGGGCACAGCCTACCCTGGGGGTGTTGCCTGGACTCGTGCCCACTCCAGGGAGACCCAGAGACCCAGACCAGTGACACTCCTGTTGCGCTGTGCGCATCTGCTCCGTGGGGCTGGAGTGGGGCTTTTGAAGGAGGGGCCCACGGCCGGGAGGGGTGGGGAAGGCACAGGCCAGATGCTCACCTGGGCTGCTTCTCGTCCTCCCCGTGGGGCAGGGCACGGGGTACAGGGTCCCCTGCGGGCAGTAGTGGCCTCGAGGGCAGGGTCCATTGAGGGGGAAGGCAGAGCTGCTCCAGGGAGTGGGGCTGGTGGCACGCCCCGCGCAGTAGTAACCAGCTGAGCAGGGTCCTTGAACATAGAGAGATGTAGATTTTAGGGCAGCTGTCTGTGCTACGACATATCTTGCCTCTCCCTGATCGCTGCCTGCTGTCCCCAGTGCCGGAGCATCACAGAAATTAAAGTAGGAGGAAGGAGGTCAGGGAAACAAGGAATGACTTCCGCATGGGGCCTGGGGTGAGGGGTAAACCACAGAGATGCTGGCTGAGGGCACTCACTGTGCAGCCAGTGCTGCTCTAAGCTCTTGATTTGTTAAGACCGCACGCTCCACAGCCACTGCGGGACGTGGGGTGCTCTCAGCCTCCTTCTACAGGGGAGGAGCCTGAGGCCCGTGAGGCTGGCTTGTCCAGGGTCACGCCTGCACTGGGCGCATGGCTGGCATGAGAGCCCCAGCGGCACCTCCTGAAGCCCCGCTCTCGGCCACTAGGCTGAGGCCTCTCAGGGGAGGGCTCAAGGGAGGAGGTGCAGGCGGCCGCACTGAGACGCGGGCCAGCCCCAGACCTGTGCTGTGTGCGCCCGCACGCAGCTCTGCTGGGTTGCTGGTACCTACCGTCGGGCTGCCCGTTGCCCTCCCCAGGGCAATACGTCCCTGCTGGGCAGGGCTGGCAGGCCCTGGAGGAGAGAGCGCCTTCTCGCGGGTTCAGGCTTCCCTCTGGGCAGGGGAGAGGAGAGGACGTCCCTGCTGGGCAATAGTGACCTGTGGGGAAGGGGGGAGCGAGACAGCTCTCAGCACCCAGAGGCCACCACCTCCTGCCATTCGTGGCAGAGAGCACAGCCAGAGGGCACGCCAGGGGTGCTGGTGCGGTGGTGGGAAGAGGCCGGGAGGGCTTGCAATCCAGGCAGTGTGCGGGGGCCCTGCTGGAGGTCAGTGCGGGCAGCCGGGATGTGCCTACGTGCACGTGTGTGCCCTTACGTGTGTCAGAGTGTGCGTGGGTGTGCACACAGGGACAGCAGCACTGTTTCTGGGCTCATTACTTAGTGAGACATAGGTGACGTGCATGGTCTGGCTCTGTAGGGCTGAGAGAGAGTTTCTTGTCTTGAAGAAAGTGGGGTCATGTACCGCCTCCTCCGGAGAAATGGCTGCACCCACGACAGGCAGCCTGGCCACCCAGACACACTGCAGAGTCTTCTCTGGGGGGCATCTGCTGAGAGGGAGTTAGCCCTCACCCCAGGGTGGAGATCCCCCGGGGCGCCGTGGGCTCGCTTTGCAGAGTGGCGGCCGCCCCAGGACAGCAGCGTTTAGGTCAGAGCAGGGACTGACCAGATGTCCTGCCCGCAGGCCAGGGCTCTGCCCTCTGTCACCCCCATGGCACTCGTTGGGAACTTGTGGTGAGCAGGAAGGCATGGCCGTGGGAGGGGGAGTTGGCAGCCCAGGGTGGCAACCTTCACCCTGCGTCCTCCTCTGCAGCACGGGTGGCCCCACTTCACATGCGGGCCTCTGGCTCCTGGGAAGGGCTGAGGTCTTGCCATCGAGCATGGAGCTCCAGGACAGAGCCAAGTTTGGGAAGACAGTGGTCCCGTCTGCACTGAACCCTCAGGGGCACTGTCCATTGGGGTCACGCGCAAGGTCCCTCTGCCCCCAAGAGACGGGCCTGAGGGCATCATTACCTTTGGGGCAGGTGGTGGCCTCCACAGTGGCAGCCGTTTGGCAGTAGGTGCCCCCTGGGCAGGGCAGGCAGGTGTCAGCTCCAGGCAATGGGCTGAAGGTGCCAGGCTCACAGGGCACCTCACTGTGGGCCCCTGGGGGGCAGCGGAAGCCAGGGGGACATCTGTATCCATGGGTGCCATCGGAGGGTGAGGGGACAACACTGCCTCCCAGGCAGATGTACCTGAGAAAACGGAGAACCATGGCTGAACCTCCTTCAGCACGACCTTGGGGTCCTGGCCAGGCTGAAGGCGAGAGCAGGCGTAGCCTTTGGAGGCCCCTGTCATCGGAGTTGTGCTGAGGGAGGCCAGTGCGGCCACAGCCAGGGTCCGTCCCTGGGATGAGAGGAGCTCCCCTTTGGCAGGAGACTAAGTAGCAGGGGCTCAGGAAGCCACTTCTGGGCAGGGTCTGACATTTTCCAGAGTCAGCACGACTCCCCTCTCCAAATGTTCCGTCCTCGGGACCCCTGAGCCGATGGCACAGGTCTTCCTTCGCACAGGACCTGGCCGGAGCTTACTGGTGGCCATGGGCAGTCTCCAGCCCTTTGGACAATGAAGGGGATGCACCTGCCAGGAATCTTAGGCACCTGTTGGCAGAGGCTGTTGGCTGACGGGATAAAAACCAAGGTCTGGCAGGGGCCACAGAGGCTGTGCAGGCCGAGCACACCCAGAGCTCCTTGGACCTTGGGAGGTCAGTGCTGTGCGGGCCTATGAGAGTGTGTTCAGTTCAGCCCTGTATCTGAGGGATGGGGCATCGGAGGACCGCGCTCCTGGGGCAGAAAGTCACCCTGACCTGGGCTCCTGAGAGGGTGCCAGGGAGAGACCTGGGAATTTAGGGTTCGTTTGTGAACTGGGGGCCCTGGAAAGCCTAAGCTAGGGAGCCTCCGCCCTCCTCAGGCCACCGCTCACCCTGCATCACAGATCTCGGCCTCCAGGATGTGGGATAGCCCAGGACGGCTGCAGTAGTGCCCCGGGGGGCACGGCTGGCACTGATGCTCACTGGCCAGGCCTGGGGCAGGGGAGAAAAACCCAGGCGAGCATGGAACTGGCGAGCCTGTTCCCCTGGGGCAGAAGAAGCCAGGGGGACAGATGTCATTCCCAGAGAGCCCAGGGGCCTCCACCTGTGGATCCAGAGAGAAAGAAGAAAGGATGTCAAGGCAAGACTGTGGCCTCGGGCCGCAAACACCGCTGCTGGCTCCTGGGGGAGAAGACTTAAATGAGGCTACTTCCCGCGAAATCGCCCTGTTACTACGTGCTTTTACGTGCCAGCTACAGCCTCTGGGGGAGGATCTAGGGTGCCTGGGGGCAGCCTCTTCCTAAATCATAGCATCCGCTCAGTGACCTCCCCTCCCTCCCTTCATCTCCCAGCCTGTTCTCTTCTCTGGTGTTGATGTGGACTCGGTGACTTCCAGAGTAGGGGACGTCTCTGTTCTAAAGGGGATGCTGGGGCCCAGAGAGGGCGAGGGGTGCGCATGTCCATGGTCATGCAGCCAGTCAGTAACAAAATGAGAACCAAAGCCAATCAGCCAGCACACCAGTGCCCATCTGTCTGTCCAATGTGGGTCCGTGCGTCCACCCAACAACTGACTCTCCACTGCCCTGCTCTGCAGAATAATCCAACATACTGATGGTTGCTTTCCCACCATGCGGCCTTGAGAAAGTCCATTACCCCACGTGTTCCTCAGGTTCTTTCTGTCTAAATGGGGTCACCCTGAGGCCTCCCACAGGGCCATCGTGAGGCCTGCTGTGTCAACGTGTGTACAACACATGGATGCTGCCAGCACATGTAAAGGCTGTGCACGTGTGACCTGCTAATATTGCCACGTGTCTCAAACCCAAGATACCATCTGCTGGAAGGTGAGCAATTTAAAAGAAAAAATTTCACTGCCATTATGATTGCCAGATGCCAAGGATTATAAGATGATGCTGGTTCTAGAGATGGTGAATGTGAAAAAGACACTTGTCTTAGAATCATTGAACTAAGCCACCAGGCCCCATGCCAGGCCCTGGGGACACTTAGGTGAGGAGGGTCTGGCCCTCAGGGTGCTTCAGCCCTGGTGGGAGAACAGTCAGCTCAGCAGGAGCTGTGTGGTCCAGTACGCACGCGGGCACTGCAGGGTGGACTCAGGCATCTGTCTGGGGTGCCGTGCCCCCATTAGGTACCTTGTGTTGGATGGGGGTGGGAGACACCGCTCCCCCTGAGCAGTAGTGGGAGGGGTGGCAGAGCCCCGACGGCTGAGACAGTCCTTCTGAGGAGCAGAACATCCCTGGAAGAAGCAGACCCAAGGGCGGGTGACAGAGGGCCTTCCCTCACCTCCCTCATTCTCCAGCCCCAGCCCCAGCCCTCCTGGGCTATGCCCCTCCTGCACACACCCTCCAGCAGGCTCTCAGACCCACAGGCCCTGGGGGAGGGAGAGGCTGTCCTCTTTCTCCAGCAGCCCCAGGCCTCTGAAGTGAACTCGGGATGCGTCCTGTCCTGAGCGCTAGAGGTGCACGTGGGCTGGAGCACAGGGCAAGAGGAAGCCCTGGGAATACAAGGACGGTGGGGGCCATGGCCCCTAGGGGTTGGTGGGGCCTGGCCCACGTGTGGACCTGACCTTGCTTTCCTTGATGCAGCCACTGGACTTGGGAGGCGGTGCCGTGACAACAGGGGCCCGGGGCCAAGGCGCTCACCCTCAGGGACTTCCGCTGCCCTCCTACTGCCCCTCACGCACTCCCCAGCCTTCCAGCCTAGGCCTTCTGCAGGGCCCACGCCCAGAAGCCACGAACCTGCTGGGCACAGCTCACAGTGCAGCTCCGCAGTGGCCCCTCGCCTGGGCCCGAACGTCCCCCGAGGGCACGGGTGGGCAGTGGCTGAGTGGGAGCCAGGGGGACAGAAGTAGCCCCGGAGGCATAGTCTGGGGCCATCGGAAGTGGGACCTGTGGGCAATGGCAGGGTCAGCCCGAGCTTGTGGGGGGACCCCCACCCTCCAAGCGTCCTGGGTTGGAGGCTCAGGACCCCCAGGCTCTGAACCTGCCTTGGCCCAGGCCCTCGGTGCTTTATTCTTTGTCTGATTTCTGGGTATGTTGGCTGCAGGGGCCCCTCAGTGTCTGACTGTCTGCCGTGGTAGCAGAAGGCGCATCGCCCAGGAAACCTCTGTGGCCCCTGATATCTCCAGCCTCCAGGGACCCTGGCTGCTCCCTTTCTCTAGGACATGGCACTTGCCCACACTGGTCACATCAGGGCCACCATCCCTCCGTGGCCTGCAGACCCCACTGCTCAGGCCTCTCTGCTGGGCCAGTAGCCACCTGCATTTAGAGACGGCCAAGGCCACATCCTGACCTCGGGTGTGCAGATGTATCTTGGGGCAACTGAGTGGAGCCACAGCCAACACAGAACCTAGAGCCCTCGACCTCAGACTGTCCTGTCCTGCACCTCGTGCCCACCATCCTGGGCTGGGCCCTGGGCATCCATGCAACGGCCCGTCCTGGTTCAAGTCCCCGACAAGCCCTTCCCTCATACCTGCCTGTGTCAGGGACCCCTTCCTTCACTCTGCTGTCGGTTGTCAAGGGCTGCACGTGAATCATAATTCTACGACCGTGACAACAAGCTCCTGGCATAAGAATTCCCTAGACACGTTCTAAAGGCAAATCTAAAAGCGCACATACAGGGAGGACACCAGAGTCTCCCTCAGGCTACCCACTGCGCCTCCTTTCACAAGTCCCTCCCCTCTCTCTAACAAGGGAGGCGGATCCTGGTCTTCGGGGAGCCCGTGAGAGCTTGATGTTCCCGTCACTGGCACCTGGCCCTGGGGCTCAGCACCCTGTGGGAGCCTCGTGCTCAGCCCCAGCGAGCCCACCTGTGCCCAGGGCTTCGCAGTAGAATCCCGCGGGGCAGGGCTCACAGGACCCCTTGGCCTCCTGGGGCTGGAATGTTCCATTCTCACAGGCCTTTGGCTGGCGGGATCCCTCGGGACAGTAGAAGCCAGGTGGGCACCGGAAAGATGAAGGGGTGGCTGAGGTCTGGCCAGGGGGACAGTAGTAACCTGCTGAGCATGGCCCGTCCGGGAAGCGCTTCCCAGCCCCTGTGGCGACAGGGTGGAGACAGTGGACCTCGATTCAGATGAGAAGGGAGAGGAGGAGACGGAACTGTCAGAGGGAGGCCGTGGAGCTCAAGGCACCAGGCTTTGGAGCCAGACTCTGCACCCCTCCTGGCTCTGCTGCCACTACTGACGCAGAGGTGCAGGAGGCCTCTCTGAACTCAGGCTTTTCGTCTGTAAAAGAATAGCCCTGGGGACTTCCTTGGTGGCGCAGTGGCTAGGACTCCGTGCTCCCAATGCAGGGGGCCCGGGTTCAGTCCCTGGCCAGGGAACTAAATCCCACATACGTGCTGCAGCAAAGACTTTGCATGCCACAACTAAGGAGACCGCCTGCCGCAACTGAGGAGTCCACATGCTGCAACTGAGGAGCTGGTGCAACCAAAGAAAGAAAGAAAAAGAAAGAAAGAAAGCAAGAGTAGCCCTGTTGTGAGGATACATCCGTTAAGAGGCCTGTCTGGTCACATCCCATGGGCTCACGCGGAGTCAAAGTGAGAGTGCTGACTTGGGAACCAGGAACACAGGCCAGGCTGAGGTGGGTGGAGGTGTGCAGAGCCCTGCGCCTCGCCCACAGGTGATGGGCCAATGCCTCATACCCCAGCCTTATCCTCATATGCTCTTGTGGGGATCCTGGGGCCCTGGGGACCATTTGGGGGAATACACGCCGCGCTTCTTCTGCTCCCAGCCCCACACACCCCTCTACTTACTGCCCAACTGTGTCTTCTAGGTGGTTTATGCATAAATGGAGTAGACCACTAACATTGACAAATGCACATCACCCTGTCTCTTCCTCTCTCCAACTTGGTTACAGCTGTGTCCACCGTCTCATTCTGGGGCTCAATCCTGGGGCGTCCCCCTGAAGTCCTGCCCCTGAGCAAGGCTGATAACCTTCAAAGCTTGTGGCAAGCACTCCACAGTCCCTCCCTAGGACACTCCTGGAATCAGGGTATGCTGGGCTGGGGTGTTGGTCTTTCTTAATGCGACCCCTTCCCCTCTGTGAACTTGGGGCCAGGTCACCTTTGCCTTCCCCTCCAATCCCGTGCCCAGTCCTCAAGCAGTGTCTCTTATGTGGGGGCTGCGGGTCATAAGTGATGTGAGGGGACCTAGGACGTCTGCCCTCAGGCAGGTGAAGTGTCTCTGGGACAAATGGATCAGTTAAGGACCCCGCAAAGTCCCAGAGAGCTGGCTCTCGTCACCTGAATCTGAGCAGAA